CATTTCTTTTCCTTTTAAATTGTTCTTAATGTCATAAATGTTTATTTGTACATTTTGAGTTGTTTGTTTATTATTCTCACTTTAAAAGGTGAAAATAAACAAGTGAGGTGGGAACATTTTAGTTTTCATTTAGTTGCATAATAATTCTGCACACTAATATAGTTGCCCAATAATTGTGCACTGCACACATATCCTCCAATAAAGTTTTTCAAATTAGTCTTACAAGGTTGTCCATTTAGAACTCACCTGACTGAGCTTCAACGCTGTTTAATTGCCATTGTATTTGTTCTGAGTTAAATTAGCAAGTGTCACATTTTAAGGACATCTTTTGATTGACATGGTGATTGATTAGGCTTTTGGAGATTATAAGTGCTGGTGGTAAGGGATATCGGCTCTGTGCTCCTTGAACACTCCAGTAACAGTGGGCTAGTAAATACAAATGCAAACTATATTCCATGCAGCCCTTCAGGAAATGCTCCCCTGCAGTAGCCATTACAGCCATTCTCCAAAGCATTTTTAGAAACTTTTAATTTCTCCAGGGCTTTCAAATTGCCTGTTTAGGTTGTGCAGAGGCATTGTTCCAAGCATCTATAAAATACCACTGTGGCCCAATGCAATGACCATATGGAGCTCCATAGCATTGTTTCATCCTAATTGCCCCCTTCTACAAGTGTCGATTTCATTCAGGAGAATACAAGGACCAAGGGCAGAAAAGAAGAATGGATGAGACGAGAGGGGGGGCTGAGGGTGAAGAGAGCTGACATTCATCAGAGTTCTCCCGACAGATGGATGAGGATACTGTCGTGCTACACTTTGTTCAGCAGATGAGCAGCACCACTCTCCCTGGATTTCATTTGGCCTTGCTGGTCTTGTTAGAGCGTTGCTTCTCTCTTCAACATCGCAGCCAAGGACCCTGACTCTTAATTTTAGCAGCTGAAGAGCTCCAGATCAATAACCATCAGTGTTTGGTTTTGGCCCGCTGCGCCGGTCAAATGGGGGGATTCCCCCCTCCCTCCCTCCTCTACTGCTCCCCCACCTTTATAGAAGGTGTCATTTAGTTTTGTCCAATTTCTCAGAAATCTTGTCATCTCTGGGTCAGTTTAAGATTTGTGTGCATGTGCCATGCACGCAGGTATACTGCTGTGATGTCTGAGAATTACACAGTTGTTCTTCACGTAATTATTCTGCTGCTGTCAGCACATAGACACACTGATTGTTTTCATGTCCGGATATGTCAGAAGCACTATTGAACATCTATCTGTTTAGCAGAGGTGGAAGAAGTACTCAGATCTTTCAAGTAAAAGTAGAATTACTGCATGGTAAACATACTCCCTCATGCGGTACCTTGGCTCTCAGCCTCCGAGGAGCACTGCACACTGTATTGCTGGGAATGCCTGATATTCACAACTGATCCACTGTTTGGAGCCAGAGAGGGTTTGAAACTTTAGTTGTCTAACCAAGGCAGCAGCGAGACACCAAAGCACTGCCGGACACTTTTGAAAAGGGGAAGCCTGAGTGGATCTAGAGTTTAACGAAGAAGTGTGTGGGAAAACGCTCCACAATGGTTTTTACCAGAAATACGACTGGACAGACTGGACTTTCAGCATTAGCCTCCATGGTGATAGAACAGGACTTATTATTGGAACTTGAACACTCGGATCATCTGTGCAACAGAGTAACTGAACTTTGTTAGGGAAAGAAAGGAGGATGGATTGTGTTTACAAATAACCAAATGTATTGGTGAAAATAGGCTATAATGATTTTTCTTTGAATATTTTGATATTTTCTTGTCATTTTATTAAGTAATATATTATATATTATTGATGCAGTTCTGCTAGAGATGAAGGATGTGGCTGCAGCGAAAGTGACTTTCTTGCTTTGAAATTGCATTAATTCTCGCTACATTAGATACCTCTCTGTGATGCAATGCCCTGTTATACTGCGTTTCTGTATAATATTGCTCAATCATTTTTTTTGTCTCCCAACCTAAAACCCAAAGATTAAATCATACACACGAAGTGCTAGCCCTGTAGAGCCCAAATTCTGTGTTACAATACTTTAAGATTTTACAAGCATAAAAGCTTGACAATATTTTAGCAAATACATTTTGACAAGTAATAATAATATATAGAATATTATTAAGTTATTTGTATTAACTGTGTTCTTTGCTTAAGATGCTTTACAATACACTGAAATCAGTCAGTTGCAAAGCCAGTACCATGGAAATGAAAATCATCCTGTTTATCCTTTATCGTCAATTTAAAGAGCTAGTTTTGTTGTAGTGCTCAGCTCGTCCCTGCAGCCGTTCTGTGAAAGACTGCGCTGTTCGTCCGGATTTTGAATCTGCTCACAAAGACCTGCAGAGATCTTTGGAGCCTGCTGAATGTGCATGCTCTCATTTGAGGTGGTCAGGCTGGGTGTAGATCCCTGTGCAGCTTCCTCTCCCTTGTTGTCCAGATTCCTCTTTCTGTGTTCTAAGCCTTTTCTGCTCCACTGCCAATACATGTGCATGTGTTAAAGATGGCTTCTGTTTCATCCTGAGGTGCTCTCCTGGGGGCAAATGTTCACCCCCACCTCTCCCTTCTCTTCTTGCTGGGGTCATTTGCAGAGGTAATCCACACATGGCTGGATACTCTCACCACAGCCTGGTAAAGGTAGATGGGATTAGGCTCATGGTGAAGGGTAATGGGCTCTTTTCACAAGCCCCTTTTTTTACCAATTAAGATGAACTTGAGTTGGACTTGTACGCACTCTTATATCAGTACTTGTATCCAACGAACCAGCCCGCGGATGGCAACATGCACGCCTGGGTGAGCCGCGTTAATCCTGCGTTTTTATTTTATTTTGGTCAATGTCAGCCAGAGGTTAACCTGGTTATAGAATGATTGCCTCACCCCGGCTGTATTTATCTCACTTCACTCCACAAGCCCTGGAGATTGAGCTGAAGTACAGAGCCTGTATTTAGACTTTATTTAAGAAGATTGGTGGTGGCCACCGACAGACCGCTGCAGTCAGCCCGTGTTCACCGATGGCCAGCTGGATCAATACAACACAATTGGGTTTTCCAATCTGCGGTCTTTGGGAACGCAGCCACAGCACTTACAGGGTGATCGCCTCTGATGAAATCTTCATCAGGATCTATTGACAGATTCATTTGAGCACCATCCTTCTGCCCTTACTACACTGTAAAGAAATGGGACACAAAAGCCCTCTTTAAAAAGTTTTCTGGCAGCTGATGGACAAGCATCTCACTCATTCACCAGCTAACACTGATTTTATTTTTATTTACTTAATTTAAAGGTTTATGTTTTTATTTTATCTTGCATGAGGTAGTAGTTGTTTAATTTACTGTCACCCCCTCACCCTTTGAAGCAAAACTCTTCCAAGCTTCTAGATTCAACAATAACTCAAATCAAATACTATGAAAAAATATTCAATAAAGCAGCAAGCGAGAGATTTGCTTTTGAAAGCAAGGCCTTAAAGTGACCTGGCAGCCGATAAAGGGACTGTGTACATTTCCCAAATCATTTCATATTTCATTTCTAAACAAGCTGCAGGGGTATTGAATATCACACGCTAATGCACGGCGGTCACATGTGCATTTGTGAAATTGTTTGGACACTCCACCAGGCGCTTTTGATGTCCACGTTTTCTCCCTGTCTGAAGTGGAGCTGCTCTTAAGAAAGCCATAATCCTGGCGGTATTGCTGCGGCGAGCGCTCTGCTGGCAGAACCTTTGGCAGCGGCATGCCTGACTCCACTCATTTTCCCCGTTGTTGTTTTACCTGTTTTGTATTTTTGCTTGGCCCCCTTGACCCCCTTTCTCTGAATTCTCCAGAGAAAGAGAGAGACTATTGAAATGGGGGGGATTGGCTAAAGGTGGTTTCCCAGAGAGGAATGCCCAGTGAAGCCCCCCCCCTGGGAACTCAGTACATCTCCTCATCTCATTCTGCAGCTGCATTTAATACACTGTAGGATTCAATTGGCCTGGCTTATTGACAGTAATGTTAATTATCTTCTTTTTTTATACTCCATTCTATATTGAAAATGCAACATGAGGTTATCATCTTGAAATAAGTCAACACTCCCAAATGGTGTAGTGTTCCTTTAATTCAGCTTCTCAAAGCAGACTTATTTTTTCCATCTCTTTTCTTCTTCCTCAAACTGTATACATCCCTCTTTTCATCCTGCCTTCTATGTTCTCCCCTCTCTCCCCCCCCTTTCTGCCTCCCTCTCTGAGTAAGAGGGCTTCCTGCCTCCTGTGAAGTTATTCCTCAGTGATATGTCCCACTTAGGGACACAGTGCTATTCACACATACTGTCATATAGAGCAGTGATTTTCAACCACTGTGCTGTGAGAGATCGGCAGGTGTGCCATGGGAAATTGTCCAATTTCAATTTATCTGTCCCCAAAAATATGATCTAGTCGCTGCAAATAATATCTGACACTGCTCCCAAGGTCCTAAGCAAGCTTAAAAGTCATCTCTCAACGAAACAACCCTCATGGCTTTCTGAAAAAAAAGGAGGTGTTACTGAAGTTTACAGCTAGAACAGTGGTGTAAGTATAGAAAGTACATCCCTTTACTGGCCTTTCCAACCAGGAGACACGTATGGGATACAACAATATACAAAATATAAGAAGATGTATAGACTCCTATCACAAAATCCATATAGTATTGATCCAGCACTACATCCAGCACTACATCCAGCACTACATCCAGCACTACATCAGTTTTTCTTTAAAGAAATAAACAAATGACTTAGTGAACAAAGAAGAAACTAAAGCCCTAAATAAGTTGGCAGTTAGTGCACATGTTCGTCTATACTACTCACCAAAGTTGTAATCTCTACTAAATGAAATGTCTACAGCTTTCACTGCTCTCTAAAATTGAAATGATAATGAATTACTGGTGAAAATGTACATATACATGAAAGGTATTGGATCTAAAGTTAACCGTTAGATTCCCAGGACCTCATGTTGTATATGTTTCTCTATTTCAGAGCTCTCAGATGTGGAACCCAACGTTTTTCTCAGGCCCTTCCTCGAGGTGGTCCGCTCTGAGGACACCACTGGACCAATCACAGGCCTCGCCCTTACTTCTGTCAACAAATTCCTCTCCTACGGCCTTATAGGTAAGAAATGCTTCCCCTCGGCAAGTGTTTTCTCTGCTCCTGCACTCCAAACACTGTTTCAATGGCAGGGCTTCTTTACTGAACCTGTATTCAAAGACTTTTGTTATATCAGGGGGTTTCTTTTCTGGCCTTTCTCTTTCAATATTGTGTGTTTTGTATGCATGTTTATAGACCATATTGACCATTTTTAGGAAAAGGAAAAATGCCAAGCCAAGTACTAGAGATTGCAAGCTTCTTAACTGGTGGTAGCTTGGTAAGTACGTTTTTTAATTAACAGTAAGTTACAATCAATGTATACATCTTCCTGGCACTCTCAAACGTGCAGAAGAGTTTTCTGTTGTTTATGGTCGGATCAGTGTAGGAATGCCAGGAATGAATTTGTCATCATGGGTGCAGAAGCGGGCTGGTTCTGGCGTACAGTCAGGACTGCCTGTCCCCATTAGCCTCATCATGGAAGTATGGCCCAGTGTCTGCCAGTTGTTTTGTTAAGTGTGAAATGAGCATGCATCACCAGATGTTGGTCTAAATAGCAGGGGTGGACTGAATGTTACAATGCTGTCAACAGAAACAGCTGCAGCCATTGCTTAGCTAACTGAGCGTTTGAGCTTACAGGAATACTGGACATTACTACAGTGATGGTGATAGGTGCACGGCCCTTGTTCTGACGCATTCAAATCCAAAATAAATCACATCTCAGCATATTTGTATCCAGTTGACATACCCTACTTATTCCCTGGACTCATTTTAGAAGTCTGTGTTTGTGTGATACCGTATCCTAGATTTCCTAAACTTGGCTGTAATTTCCTCTCGGCAACAATCGACAACAGCTGATCTGCTCTGAGCACATCCACACACCATTAGCTTTCTGTCTCATTCACACACTCTCACCGGGCCACACATTACGACTCTTTCAAAATTCCCAGCCGACCTTCGGCATCTTCACATGGTGGGCTACTGCAAGCCGGGGTCCTCATAACATTTGCATTTTTGGGTCCTTTTAAACAGTTCCTACGTTTTTACTACGTTGAAGTGAGCAAAAATAGACATTAGGATTTAATGTTGGAACTGAGCTTTCTTTAAAAAAAAAAAGAAGCCAAGCATGTATATGTGAAACCATTTCTGGAACAAATGGGCCTCTGCCTGCTAAGGCTCACACAGATGTACACACAATATGTGTTCAAAGATCACCTCACAAATAGTCCCCTGTGTCCCAGAGCCTCTGTCTGTCACTCCAGACCTGACACCAGCTCCCTTAATCCCCCCCACCCCCACCCCGACGCCATCGCTCCCCCAGCAGCAGATCATCAGCATTGTTCCAAGGGCCGCACCATTGTGCCGATGCTGCACGCTCGCTCTCAAGCACAGCTCCTGTTGTTTTAAGAAGAAGAAATAGTCTGTAGTTTGAGAACTGTATTAACAGTCTGACTTTAGTTGCTCAAACAGTACAGACTGTTAACACCCCCTCTTCTCTTGTTTAACTTAGCCATGCATCCGTTTCTTTGGTAGTGTGGGAGGGATATGATGTGATATTTAATGCAAGTTCAAAGAGAATTGAAACCCGATCTGAAGCATGTGTCAGAGACTCTGGAGGAGATCACAGATATAATTCCTCATGAGAGCAGTGACTGGGTTCAGCATTTACACCAAGCAGTATTTCATATATAATATATATATATATATATATGTGTGTATATATATATGTGTATATATATATATATATATATATATATATATATATATATATATATATATATATATATATATGTATAGCTGCAAAATATTACATAGCTTTCCAAATAGTTTTTCTAATGAAATTGTGCTTCTTTTTTAATGCCCAGTGAAAATTCTTGATTGTGTAAAAGTAATTTTTGTAAGTAATTGCAAAATGTTTAATACAGCGTATTCATTTATAAATATATATAAATATATATACTTATAAATAAATAATAACTCTATTGTACTTTGGGAGTGTACTGTACGCCAACTACATCATTTAACACCACCTAAGCAAAAAAAACAACAGTAGAAAAATAGAACTGTTAACTAACAGTAAAATGTGATTATTTGATTTGATCAGCACGAGTTCCCCTTACTGTAGTTCAAAAATAAAATCAATATTAATAATAATATCAACATGAATTTTAAACATTTAGAAAATAAATCCAGACCTTGATGCTTCAAATGTACTGACTGTATTCATCAGTACAATGTTTTAGCTAATACCCTATCTGAAGTCAGGATGTAGAAACTGTGCTGCCTTCAGGGCAGCTGGGACATATGATGTTAAATGGACAGAAAGAACAGCAACACTGGTTTGTCAAGTACTGCCATCTCCTGGCTAGGAATAAATACAAAAAAAGTCTGCACGCCTCAAAAATGTTTCTTAGTCATCTTCTGGATTCAATTTGTATTTAAACAATTTGACTTAGCATTATGTTTACATGTGATCCTCCACTCTGTAATCCATTTGTTTGATGTATCTTTAGTAAGACTGAAGCTGTTTGGTGTGCTTCTTAAAGGATATCACTGTTTCATTATGATACTTGCTGAATGATTGATGTCACCATTTAATGATTGTAGGCTTAAGGTGTAGGATAGAGTGTGTTGATGTTGATGCTCAGCAGGTTTTAACACATCACACCCCCCTCTAATCAGCAGGGAGATCTGCCTCCAGCAGGCCGCTGTGTTCCAAATGATCCTGGGTGTTGTGTTGAATATGATCCTCCCTTAAGTGTGTCACCCTGAGCAGGGTCCCCTGCACCATCCTCTTTTTAAATGTTTTGCTTGTCTAGGGCATAACAGAAAGAGGGAGGCAATCATTTCCTACAACAACCCACTCATTCCGCTCACTCCTTTATTTACTTTGAGGTTATTCCTCACATTCTATGGCATGGAGAAAGCAGTAACTAAGCCTTGTTGCTGACAGATACCCAGATCTCTGCTCTATCCTCTCTTTCCCACTGCTCATCTCTCCCTCCGTGGTCGTCCTCCTCCCCCTTTCTCCCCTGCCCAGTAGAGTCAGCAAAGCCCCTCACTGTGCTGGAGCATCCATGGTCAGTAGCCCACAGAGGACTCAGAGTGGGGCTCAGAGCGGGGCTCAGAGCGGGGCTCAGAGCGAGGCTCAGCGCGGGGCTCAGCTCAGGCTTAAACTGCAGCCACTGGCAGAAGTGATGAGCTTACAGTACAGCTGTGGCCTGCCTTTCATTTGAGGGGTAAAAACATTGTTATTCTTCAATTAAATGGATGTCATAAGAAAAGAAAGGAGTGTGTATTTCTCATTACCGTCAACATTACATGTAGTTCAACAAAAAAAGGAGCATCACCTATTTCTCGAAATCCTTGGACATAAATCAAATGAATATGACGCAGTAAGCATGGTAAAAGTGAAGGGAAAATCAAATGGTTTACAGAGTAGAAAGATTCAAAGGGAGGAAAAAGTCTGACGTGGAAAATAACCCAATGATTTCAACAAGGTTGATTTGGCCTTTTACTTCCCAATTTGGGAAAATGATGGTCACATTTTGAAATGCAATGTAAATGCATAACATTTCTTAAAAATAGAATAGAAATCAAAATACACATTGAAAATAAAAAAACTATATATATTCAGAGGAGTATCCAAACACTATGAAACATACAGAAAATCATTTAATACTCTCTCATCTACTAAACATATAAACATAGTGTACTGTATGCATAAATAAATTGTGAACAGTAGCTTTTGTTAAATTAAAAGTCAAATGTATCCTGTGAAATCACTCAGTTTACTGGTCAGGTGAACTCCCAGGTACTCTGAAGATTTGACAATCTCCTTGTCCTCTCCCTGGAGGCTCACCAGTGCAGGAACCTTGGTTTCCCCTGCATTGATCTGGAGGCCACAAAGCCCTTGGTCAGTTCTCTGTGCTCACCGTCTGCTGAGGACTGAAGAGCAGTCGGAGAACCTTTACAGGTGGCAGTTAGCTGAATTGTATGTGAAGTTTGTAGTGTAAAGGGTGAAGAGGGAGGAGCCCCCATGCTGCAAACAATCATGTTAGACTCACAGTCCTGTATTCTCCCAATCTATGGTTGGTTGGCGACGGAGATCAGGATCCATGCTGTGAGTTAGTGCTCAGACTGGTCCCTCATAATCATGGGCTGTAGCCTTTTCTTAACACTGATTGCGGTTTTCTATACATTGCTTATACTTTTTGTTTGGTCATTAACTACAATCTAGGAGTTGGTAATGCACTAAATAATACTCAACCCATTCATGATTTATTCCGGCACTCTTCTGTTCTGTGCAACCCACTAAGAGCAATATAAACCAGAGTCAATGTCCTTTTATGTGAACACATACTTAATAAAACTGATTCTGAAAGTAGTTCTTTTTTTTCTTTACTTTTAAAGGGGACCTATCATGCAAAATGCACTTTTTGATGTCTTTTATACATAAATATGTGTCCCCGGTGAGTCGGGGAACTCACAAAGTGTCAGAAAGCAAAACCCTCTCTCTTTTCCTCCGTGCCCATATCTCTGAAAACGGGGTAACAACGGAGCTGATCCAGATTTGCCATCGTCATATCGGACGGTGGACCCACGGCCCTATCAGAAACTTCGTTATCAGAATCAATGCTCGACGTGTTTTGGACGTAATATGGTCATGGTTTACATTAGCAAGGTTCGCTAACACTCAGAGCTAACCTGTACTGGGGAGAGTATGTGTAAAGAAGCAGGATATAAAAAGGAACTCACCTTGTGGTAAACCTGAGAGAGAAAGCGTTTGAGCTCCATACTGTTTCAGAAATAATCCTTGATGTGGTTTTGGCATTTCATCACGGCAGCATTTATTTTAGACAGTATCTGCCGGGTCCCGCATGAGCAGGCGTAAACTCCGTCCCCTCTTTAAAAAAAAAAAAGAAGCTTTATACCCCGAATCAGTACTTTAGTAACAGGAAGCAGAGTCTTGCACGGGTCTGATTTTCAAGACCCGCTCCCGCCCCGCGACGTGCAATACTGAACCCGCCCCGCCACCCGCACATATACACGCAGTTGCATATTTGGCTCAAAAAGCGTGGGATGTTGGTTATGTTCTCCATCTAGGATGACACCAAAAGCCTCCCAGACGTTGGATTTCGCTCTTGAGGAAGAGTTATTGACAATGCTGTATCCTCCGCTAGAGAGCTTCACCTCAGCCATTTCGAATGTGGCGCGCTCAGCAGCAGATTGATGCGGTGCAGAGGTTAGGATTATGCGCGGTCCCGTGGGGGAAGTGCTGATTCGGGGTATACCCGCGGGTACTCGACCCGATGCAGGACTCTGACAGGAAGTGAACTAGAGGGATTTGAGGCATGGCTAGAATGGGTGATCTGTTTGGTATTTTGAGCAAAACACTTCATAGACGTGTTTTTCATACATTTTTATATATCTGAGACCTATGCTATTGTCTAAAAAATGCATGATAGGTGACCTTTAATGTTGCCTTTTTCTTGGATTTGTTTTGGGAACCTAACACATACTAGGGAATATGTTGGTTGCTCAGTCTTGTGAAAAGTAAATGCAAGATCACCAGCACTTGCTCTCAAGACCACAAAATCCTATGTACGTGTACCATGCATTTACTGATGTGCACTCTGTGTAGCTAAGATGAGAGCAGGGCAGCCTGTCTGAAAGGTGATCTAGTGCTATTCAGTAGATGAACAGGTGAACAAACTCATTTCTTATCTGGAGATGGAAAAGCAGCGGTCTCTTTGTTTGGTTTCTAAAGATGTATTGGTCCTTATGCAGAGTGCAGCCTGAGAGCTTTGTGTGTGTGTCTGTGTTTCCCTCACGCCACCACTGTGACTCTGTGACCAGAGTTTGATATTACTTTAACTGCTTTGTGTGGCAGCTGGTTCAAACCCCTATTGACTTTGCCCCCATACCCTCAGGCACAAACACACACTCATGTAGAGACTCTCCTTTCCTCAATGTTATTTTAACAATGCCCCCCCCCCCCACACCCTTATTTTTGACGCCGCTTGTATAGACTGTGTGCCAAGAGAAGGATTAGTGTTTTATATCACTTCTGACATTCTGCTGGATCCCCCTGTGGCTCCAGTTTCTGTGTGGACATTGGATGATTTCAGCACAACTTCCACGCTTGTTGTCGCCCTTGCCTCTGGAGGGATGTTGGCATTGCTGTGTCTGAACGGCCTCAATACTCCAATTCTTAGCCATTAACCGGCTTCTCACTTACTGTCACTGACTTTCTGCACTCAAAGTCTTCACGGCAGCTGCCAACTTGTCACAAACATTTGCTAAGAGGGCAGTTTCCTAACAAATAACATTACAAAGTTATGTTTTTAGGTAATCACATGCTCAAACAGAAAGGTTCAGTGTCCCTTTAAACCCAGAGCTGCCCATCTTGTCCACATGTTGAGACGCAGCATGGTTGCATTACTTGGAAAATAATCATCATTTTATCCAACTCTGCCTCCATTCTTCCACTCCCCCCCCCCTGTGCTTATTAGTTAATGAATTGCTGCTCCTGAGTGCGATGGGAAAGGAAAACAGGCTGTCTCCAGGAGGCAGCCGCTCGGGTTTCAAAAACACAGGCTCCTGTTGCTCTGACAGCCAATTTGTCCCAGCCTGCCTCACACAAAAGGCCACATCTGGTCATTATAGGCCACGGATGAAGGACAATGTGGAGAGGCCAAACCAGATTTGTTTGGTTTATTAATGAGTTGTGCTGCTGGAGCTGTGATCTTGGAGTTTACTTAAAATCTCAGACAACTTTTAAATGACTGCTGGATTGGTGACTCATTATCACCTATTAACTTAAATTGGGAAAGAGACGTGTGTAAATTAGCAGATGATTTTTTGTACTAAATCAACTACCCAGTACGAACACTTTTATAACCCTTATTTGAATCATTAGGGTCTGAAAGTCGTTAAACGAGGCAGGGCTTAAGGGAAAACTCAAGTGTGCACGCTCTATGTGTCTATGTCCTGCCTCCAGCCTGTATCAAGTTCTCTTTATACATCCATGGTAATTCTCAGCTATACAGCGTGCCATGTAACTGTACTGGGCTGATCATAAAACTTAAGCTCAGTTCAAGACAAAACGGAACTAATAATGTTTGAAAGCCCTGTTTTATTCTATTTGATTTTATTCTATATACCCTTAATCGTGCCATAGAGGGGAAATGTACATTGTGCATTTGACCCTTCCTAGTGTTAGGAGCAGTGGGCTGCCATTATGTACGGCGCCCGGGGAGCAGTGTAGGGAACGGTGGCTTGCTCAGGGACACCTCGGTAGCACTTGGTCTTTCGGGGACTTGAACCGGTGACCTTCCGGTTCCCAAGCCAAGTCCCTATGGACTTCGCCACCAGCGCCCTATATATCCCTTTTTCTTTGTCTTCTTTTTCAACTTTCATCTAATAAATAAATAAATAAATGTTTTCCAGAGGTGTTCAATGGAGCCTTCTTCAGAATGACCCTGACTATGAACAACTCTTTTTTGTTCTCGTTTTGTTCTTTTGAAAATGAAAAAGGAATATAACCTTGAAACACATTCCCAAACTAATCAAAGAGCCTTTTCTGAGTCAGCCTTTAGATAAACGTGTGTTTCTTGTCTGTTTGCAGATGCTAACCATGAAGCAGCAGCAGAGGCCATAGAGAACATGGCCGACGCAGTCACACACGCTCGCTTTGTGGGAACCGACCCTGCCAGCGATGAAGTGGTCCTTATGAAAATTCTGCAGGTATGACATGTTTCCTCATTGGAGCCTCAGCTGTCTGCACCAACCTGATGGAGCCCGGCTCATAAGGTTGTCTCAATCCAGCCTTCCAATAAAATACACTTTTTTTAGTTTTAAGTCATTAGTTTTTTGTAATAAGGTAAGTTTCTATTATGTTTAATTAAGAATGTGAGAGAGAAGTGTACATTTATTTTCATGGTAATTCAATGGCTTTCCTGCGGCCCTACAGCATACGTGTAGTTGGAACACAAGTAAAAACAATGCTTTCTTATTTTCTTGGCTCTGTAGGTCTTATCTCAGAAATGCTCCTGTAAGGACACATGTCAAACGTAGTATATGTTTACTGTTTACAGAGTATATATATTAGGAGATATACACATTTGGATCAGATTTCAACTGGAACCTGTGCCGTTTGAAGTTTTGGGTTTAGTAGTTATTGTGCTGATATGCTACAACAAGAGTAGATACTACTGCTGCAGATAGGAGATAAGTGCTGAAGTGCAGACAGTATAAGCACCATTTATTTTCTACACCCCAAATACTAATTTAAACCTGATGAGCATAATATTTCTTCTTTAAAAAAAACTAAAAACATTGGTTTTGCAGAGTCTGGAAGAAGGCAAAACAACATTCTGTGTTACTGTTTTATTATCATGTTAGTTGTATTTATAAAGTATCTTTAAAGTTTGCCTATGGTAGCATACATTGTGGTGTGCATATATTACATTACATTACATGTACGACTTACGACTTACATACATTCAGCACTGTGGACAATCCCCACAGGAGCAATTTGGGTGAAGTGTCTTGCCCAGGGACACAACGACATGCTGACTGCAGTGGGATTCGAACTTGCTACCCCCTGATTCCAAGTCCAGCACACTATCCACTGAGCCACAGCCTCCCATATTCTACTTACGTTCATAAATCCCAGCATTTCCTTTGGCAGTGATGCTTATGCTGTGTATGAATGAGTGCTGTGGAGCTCTGTGCTTTGAACAGTATGTGTCTGTGCCGATGTGGCAGAGCGAACTTTGATTCCTCCACAGTGTGTGTTTGATGACATTGGTGTGATGCTGTGTTTCAGGTCCTCAGGACTCTGCTGCTCACACCGGTCGGAGCCCATCTGACCAACGAGTCGGTCTGTGAGATCATGCAGTCCTGCTTCAGGATCTGCTTTGAGATGCGTCTGAGTGGTGAGCAGCAACACACACTCATCCACATCCATTTCTGCTGTGTATCCTTTCAGGGAGAGCTGATGTTAGATTGTATGCTTCAGTTACAACCACATCAACTCATGCTACACAGTATTTTTAGTAACTTCTATGTTTTGTGTGCATAAGCTTCTTATGTATTTATTTATTTTGTTTTTGACCATCATGTAAAACAGTGGTTACAAACTTGGGGGGTCAGGACCTCCAAATGGGTCAATATTAATAGTAACGTGAATGAGATGAGGAATGGCATAGAAATATAATCAGAAAAATGCTCTGTGGAACAAAAGGTTTTTGCCAGACTTCTCTAGAACCATTTATATTGTATTGTAAAATACTGAATGCTTTCACCCATCATGCCTTTGACATGTTTTAAATTCAACAATCAGATGGTCAAATACATCAGTTCATTCTAGCAGTAACAAATATAATTACATTTTTCTTGTTTTTCTTATACTATAATGATATTATTTTGTATTCAGAAATAAATGAAACAGGCTGCAAAAGCCCACACTCATCTTTTAAGAGTTGTGACTTCTCTTGCTCCTGCTCTCTCAGCTTTCGTTCGGACTAGTTATTTAGTTAGTTATTTGTTTAAAATGTCCCTTTTTCTGCTTTGCTTGCTCCTCTTTTTCCTGCAGCGTGCTTCTAATGTCTGTTTCTTCTCTGTGTTTGCAGAGCTCCTCAGGAAATCAGCTGAACACACACTGGTTGACATGGTGCAGCTACTGTTCTCTAGGTAAGGCCAGTGGTTGATGAAGATGGGTGCAGCATTAGGTTTAACGTTTGAATGCTGACGTGTGTAGGATTCCCATTGGTTCTTTCTGATGGACTGAACTATGTCATTCAAGCAAAGAAATACTTCTAGAGTTGAACATTGGATGCTGCTTTGGTGTTTCTACCCTGAACAACGAGTAAAGAGTGGTTTCAAATCCCAACTCTTAAGTTACCTCTCCACAGAGGAAGAGCAGGCGGACTGCTGCTGCGCTCTTCATCACCTCTGGATTACACATCATCAGTTTTCTGCATATATCTGTCTCTCAGGCCTCATTATTCCCATGAAGCTCATGAATTTCATTTTGCTCTGTGCACAGGGTCAATGGGCCACTGATTCACTAATGCCATAACATGATTTCTCCTTTGGCATTTAGCATAAGGGCTCCTCTCTTCCCATCACCCCCCCACACAGCAGCCAGTCCAGATGCATCAGAGTGCCAGTCACATTCAGTCACAGACAAGGGGATGAGCCAATTGAGCTGCACAACACATGATCTGCATACAGATGAAGCTACAGCTCCCAGCCCCATAAATACTAAGAAGCACACACGCACACACACAGACACACACACTCACACATACACACACACTCACACATACACACACACTCACACATACACACACACTCACACATACAGAATTAGCATTGCCAGCGATACCAGACAGAAGCAATCAGGAAAATCTGCTACAAAAAAAATCTTCCTGCTGATCTGAATGTGAAGGAGCACACCTGCAGAACAAACAGAGCTCAAAATAAAGTTCTGGTGTTATTCACCTGCTCTCTGACGGCATGTCTCCAGCAGGACTATTTGACACAAGATTTGTCACAAAGTGATGGATAATCTTCCCTCCAGTAGAGTCCAGTGTTGTTTTTTGCCAAGCTTGTCGCCATGCGCAAACGCTCCCTCCAAGCATTCTCGGCCTGTTTTCATTTACTGGGAGGACTCTCATATTGCCATATGAGAGTCCTCCCAGTAAATGACTTTAAAAGGTTTTACTGCGCAAGCATGGCAATAGAGAAGCATGGCGGCACGGTCGTAAACAGAGGCTCCCTGTACCACATATTTAAATGTAGTGTTGGCCTTGTATTACATCCTTCTGATACTGCTCACACACACACACAGACACACACACACACACACACAGACACCACATCTCATTTCCCTCCAGTTCAACTCCCAGCCCCCACTGTCTCAGACCCTGGATAATAGAGATGTGAGAGGGTCTGCGCTGCCCCACCCCCCATCAGGGAGTGATGAACAGCTCTCCTCAGGAGTCTAAGATTGCCTGCTGAAAGTATTAGGCATGTTAATCTGTTGGACCCACAGATCATCCAATAATCGCGCTCGCAAGACAACACTCTATTAAAGCCCAGTTAATGGGGGGGGGGGGCGCAGGCCCCTCTTATTTTTAATGTGTTTGTCTGTGTGTATGTGTGCGTGACAGCTAGTGACATCTCATTTTCCTGCAAAGCGATAAAGTCCACAGAAGCTAGTGACACACACACACACACACACACACACACACACACACACACACACACACACACACACACACACACAGAGAGATTCCCACCCTGATATTGCCTTTTCAGAAGCACTCAGCCTAAAACAAGTTCCACATTCCTTTTGGATTAATTGTTTCTTCTGTTTTTTTGTTATAAATCAAAAATCTCAATCTTGATGGAATTTCAGAAGCTTGTAATTTTTCACTATTTGCTGACAATATACAGTATAGACCAAATGATTGATTGATTCATACTTAAAATAATGAATCATAGTTACTGGCTTTGAGTTCCCTAGTATGGGTCCAGACTGACCGACACAAAGGAACCAAATAAATAGTGCTAATACTTAGTGCTAAATCAGATTAACCCGACACCAGCTTCTGCTTCATTTAGAACAAATCATATCTAAAAGCTCCTGAATAACAGGCTAAGCTTTATATGCAGTTGGATTCAAATGAACAATGATGAACACTCTTAAACTAAAACCAAAGCCAGAATAGTTAAGCATTCAGGTAACTATTCATTTCACATCCAATTCTGAAAAGTCACCTGATGAGTTGAGCCTCACTACAGTTCAACATGTGTCTGCTTCACCACCTCATGCTCTGTGAGGTTCACCTGCTCAGTTGGGTTTTGTTTTAGTTCTGATGGAGATGTGCGCTGCATACATTATTTATTTTTCTCCATCATGGAATATGGACCTTTTTTAAACTCATCACCTGAACCATCAATTAAAAAATAAATGTTTACCTGCAAGTTGTTGATATTCAATGTCCTGCATCTACAAGAGGAAGCCTTTCCCAAACATGGTCTCAACTGAACTATGTGTCGTTTCTTCCAGACTACCACAGTTCAAAGAGGAGGCCAAGAGTTACGTTGGTGCCAACATGAAGAAGGTAAGGAACTTTAATGTTTCATTTGTATTTCATCTGCTCGCTATTATTGTTCCCTTATTCACAATTTCCAGTCTTGGTTTATCTCACTGTCATTGTGTTGTTTTTAAGTTTTCGGTCTTTTTATTGTTATCCAGGAAATAGCATGTTAGCTGAACATGTTCAAAAAAACCAAGAGCACCAATTATTCCTGCACATGTAATCTGTCGGTTAAATGACCAACATTCATGCAACAAAATAATTAGGTTTCAAAATCTGGATAAACTTTGAATCCACCAGTTCTAATGATCCTATTCCTGTCTTCTGTTCCTAAACACGCAGTATCCTCTAATCTCATTTCTCTCCTTTTATTTACATTTGGAAACTTTGAGTTGTTTTGGTTTGAGCTGCCCATTTCTCTGCTGCCTGTTGTCCTTTCCACAGACCTATCCTGTATCCTTAGGGTCTTATTTCTGCAGGGTTTGACTTATAAGTGGCATGTATGGGTGGGCTTTGGGTTGCTATTCAACTTTTCAATGTTTTCACGCACATTTTGAATGCCTTTAAATCATCACTGAATCAATTCCCTTTAAGCTTTTCACCATGACACATTTTAGTTGCTCTCAATGAATGAAAGTCGGAACTTTGAGATTTAAAAACATCCTTAAAGGCAATTTGTTACCAATGTCCCCACCTCAAGTAGAAGTATTGCTGATCAAATGTAAGGCTTGTCTGGGCCAGGCTGAGTGAAAAAGGCTTGATTGATTAGGACCACCACACTGTTTCAAACACTTACTCAGAAATAAATATTTTGTAATGCAACCAATTTTTTCGCAATACCGTTGAAAAAGTGGCGAAGGGCGCTCGCTGAAATGCATGCTGGGGTACCAGCGCCAAGTGTAGTAGCAGTAGTATAACATGTGAAGCTGAATGTAAAGATGGACACTTAAGAAAATGAGACTGGAGATGGAGATATGACACACTAGAAGAACTTGTGCCGAGAAGAGCTGTGTCTGTCGTTTGGAGGTTTTTTGGATTAAAGAAATCTGACGTGGACCAAACAAACATTTATTACAGAAATGTTGTGGAACTCAAATTAATCCCCGAGGAGGTAACACAACTAATTTACTCCACCATCTCAAAAGAAAGCACTTATTGGAGTACGAAGAATGAATGAAAATACGATGTGCTTCAACAAGCAACGCTGGTGAAATGTTTAAAGCAAAGTTGAGTCAAGTGTGGCTTGAAGACGCATTTGTTCGGGGGACTGCCTATGATAGAAAAAACGTTTAAATGTAAATACATTTCCAATCATTGAAAAAGAACTACCATGATATACCATGATACCATTATCATTTTGAAAAACACCGTGATAAAGTCCCTTAAATCTGTGGACTAATACTATTCATTGCATAGGTTTCATTAAAATAATAATGGCCTATTGATTCACTCATGTGGACTCATACACTGGAGATGTGGCATGATGCACTAAAGTCCAAAAGGGACCCTCTGCCCACTGTGACTGTTATGTGGGGCAGCTCAAACCGTGTTCAGCTTTATGCATGAAATGGTCAAAGATTGATCATAAATGTAACTCTTTCACTGCATGCCAGTGTACAGCCGTGCCCAAAAGCTTTTAGAATGACTCAAGTATTGGTTTTCACAAAATGTGCTGCTTCAGTGTTTTTAGATCTTTTTGTCAGATGTTACTTTGGTATACTGAAGTATAATTACAAGCATTTCACAAGTGTCAAAGGCTTTTATTGACAATTAGAGTCAATAGTCAATATTTGCAGTGTTGACCCTTCTTTTTCAAGACGTCTGCAATTGGCCCTGGCATGCTGTCAATGAACTTCAGCGCCACATCCTGATGGCAGCCCATTCTTGCATAATCAATGCTTGGAGTTTATCAGAATTTGTGGGTTTTTGTTTGTCCACCCGCCACTTGAAGATTGACAACAAGTTCTCATTTGGATTAAGGTCTGGGGAGTTTCCTGGACATGGACCCAAAATGTCTATGTTGTGTTCCCCGAGCCACTGAGTTATCACTTTCGCCTCATGGCAAGGTGCTCAATCATGCTGGAAAAGGCATTGTTCGTCACCAAACTGTTCTTGGATGTTGCAATCGGAGGATGTTTTGGTACCATTCTTAATTCAGGGCTGAGTTCCTTTGCAAAATTGAGTGAGCCCCCACGCCCTTGGTTGAGAAGCAACATGAATGGTCTGTTGGCATGACCCAGGACTGATGGTAGCGCTCACATTTTTCTTCTCTGGACAAAGCTTTTTTTCCGGATGCCCCAAATAAATAAGAAAGGGGATTCAACAAGAAAACATGACTTTACCACAGTCCTCAGCCATCCAATCCCTGTAATGTTTTACAGAATTTCAGTCGGTCCCTGATGTTTTTCCTGGAGAGAAGTGGCTTCTTTGCTGCCCTTCTCGACACAAGGCCATCCTCCAAAGCCTCACTGTGCGTGCAGATGCACTCACACCTGCCTGCTGCCATTCCTGAGCAGGCTCTGCACTGGTGGTGCCCCGATCCCGCAGCTGAATCGACTTTAGGAGACGGTCCTGGTGCTTGCTGGACCTACTTGGAGGCCCTGAACCCTTCTTCACAACAATTGAACCCCTCTCCTTGAAGTTCTTGATGATCCGATAAATGGTGGATTTAGGTCCAATGTTACTAGCAGCAATATCCTTGCCTTTGAAGCCCGTTTTTGGCAAAGCAAGGACAACTGCACGGGTTTCCTTGCAGGTTAACAGAGGAAGAACAATGATTTCAAGCACCACCCTCATTTTAAAGCTTCCAATCTGTTATTCTAACTCTATCAGCATGACAGAGTATTCTCCAGTCAACACTCTCATCTGTGTTAACGAGAGAATCACTGACATGATGTTTGCTATTCCTTTGTGGCAGGGCGGAAATGCAGTGTAAATGTTCTTTTTGGCAGCAGACTTTGTGAAAATGTATATCCAAACTTTTGGGCACGGCTGTAGTAGTAACGCGAGGTCAACAATAGCCGCGTTCACACCAAGTACTTTGCTGTACTTAGTGCCGGCACTTAGTGCCCCAGCACTTATTACCCCAGGGCACTTAGTACAGATCGCGTTCACACCGGAATAAATTCCCTGAGGGAAGATTACGCAAATGAGCCGCTGACGTCACTTTGTCTTCTTCTGTTTTGGCTTTACTGTCCCCGGCCGGAAGTCCCCGGAGTTGGGGACTGGCTTCAGTAGAAGCTGCTGGGACTCCCAGCTCCACCGCTCTCATGTTTTCTTTTGTGTTGCCATAAGTTAGTCTCTCTGCGTTTGTGCGCTGGGCGAATGCTAATGCTAATAATGCTAATGCGAGGATAATAAAATGGCGGCTCTAAAAAACATTTCAGAGTTTTACGGGGCGTGGTTTGCAATTCGCCCAGCCAATCAGAACTGGGGCACTTTTTTCCCCCAGGAAAGTACCATCTCTCAGCAGGCACTAAAAATGGGGGTAAAAGCTCCCGGCACTAAGTATTCTTTTTGGTGTGAACGCGACATAAGGGGTACTAACGGAACTAAACGCGAAAAGTACAGTGAAAAGTACTCCGGTGTGAACGCGGCTAATGAGTCCATTGCACACTGGAAACCGAGAGAAGACTTCATGGATGAGGGCTAACTAGTTGGTTTAGTCCAAAGCTGGGCTGGGATTGGATATTACACCTTACAAGCTACACACTGTACAAATACACCATACCTCGAGTTTCCCTGTTCTGTTTGAATGGCTGTGGTAATGCTGTTGTACATGTAGTGTTGATGTGGGACCTCAGTAATGAAGTAGCAGTAGTTGCAGCAGTTTTGCTTTCTGCATGGTGTCTGCCGCCCGCTCATACTGCCTGCTCATTGGCTGGCTGCACTTTCTCTTGTGGTTGGAGCCTGTAGTGGCTGTGTCTGTGCCCCCCCCACCTGCACTCTGTTTGGACCCCCCCTGCCCTGCCACCATGCACAAACATGTATGTTCCAGTGTGTTTTGTGTTGGTCCCAATGCTGACATGTTACCCACCACTAATCACGGGCACATGCCCCTCCCCTTCTCTTCTGAGGCTTACAATATCATGTGGAAAAACAAACGAGTGCAGGTAAGGAAGATGGCTTTCAGTGTTAAGGTGGGAGATCTCTCCCTGTAACTCTCATTTGAAGACCTCAATAAGTTTGACCTTCTCTAAACTGGGAGGAGAAACATCACATGTGCTGATTTTAAGAAATGATTCTGGACATTTGTTAGCAAGTTAAACCTACCTCATTATGACATGTCTGTGCTTGTGATTGCTCACATTAAATGTATATTATAGGAGCATTTTGTTTTTAATTCCACCACCATATGTCTGAGTTGCTGCATATCATGCTACGCATTTACTCTCAGCTGTTGCAGGATAAAGCATGTCTCAGTTGTCTTTTTGTCTAAAGAAAGTTAAGATAATGTCACACTACAGATTTAAAAGAGTCTGAAACTCTAAAGGAGAAGCAGTTTCTCTTCATGTTGTTGTTTGTATGTGCATCTACACTTTTGCCCAAGTGTTGTTACATATGATGATTATTGCAGATCTGTCTTTGCTTCAGATGTTTAAATGACCTTTACTTGCATGACTATAATGAACTGTAGTTAAGCCAAAGAGTTTTGCACTGAAATGATGTAAAGAATACATTTATATGATGCTACTTCTTTCACATTTACATTAGTACTCCCTAACACCTGGAAACACATGTTCACATACATTATAATAGGAGTACCATTCATTCCCTTCATGTTCAAGCACAGCTTCAAATAGTGGCTTCAAAATGCTTTAATACATAACATTTAGTTGTATTGTACCCTATGAAAGGGATAGTTTAACCCAAAATCCAAATTCATATTTCTCTTCCTATTTATAGTGCTGTTTATCAATCTATATTGTTTTGGTTTAGTTGACAGGTGATTTTTAATCGGGAAATGTTTGTCTTACGTTCAATATAATGGAATGACATAGTATGTCCCTTAAAGTGATCAAAGGTCAAAAGAAAATACATTTAATGAACAGAAAGGCCTCTCGCCCAAATTCATGACCAAGGTGCTCAAGATAATCTACAGACCTTGTTGTGAGCAGATACATTCAGGAACTATTTGATTCATCCCAAAACACTCTGCAGAACAAAGCATGTGCACTCAGTGACGGTTACAGTGCGAGATGTAAGTGGTGTCCTCCTCGGCTGAGCTCGTACGTTGGCTAGCCTCTTGTCCATAAGTACATTTCCCTCTTTCCACTGTGCTGTGTATCATCAGTAAAACAACATGAAACAGGGTCTGCACTGTAGATTATATTGATTCATGATTACTGAAAAGATGCACTGCCGTGGAGTACATCAGATGCATTCTTTTGAACTGTGAGCCCCACAAAGGAAGAATATTTGAGTTCCATTGTATTGGAGAGGAAGCAGTCATCCTACGGTCAAGATCTGCAAAACTCAACAACTCACTCCAAAACATGCTAGGTTGATACATAGCCACACAGGTCAAAGGAATTCTATGTAATGGGTTAACTGTCCCTTTAAGCTGGGAGTGACTAGAAATGCTCACAGCTTCCTCTTATTGTTCAAAGAAAACATGAACAGTTTAGGAGGCATGAAGCTTCCTAGATGATCAAGGCCTTAATCAGTAATGTTGTTGTTTGTAGAACTCTAAGTGATCCACTGTGTTTCCTCTAGTTGAAGATGCGCGCCGGTGGGATGAGTGAGTCATCCAAATGGAAGAAGCAAAAGCGTTCACCGAGGCCGCCTCACCACATGGTCCGAAGTCCCTCCGGTCAGATGGACCCCACCCAGCCCAGCACCCTCAGCAACAACAACCTCTCAGGTCAGACAAACTGTGAACATACACTCACCCATAATCAATGACCCAACCCTAGCTTCAAGATGCTCAATAAGCTCAAATCATATTCTCCAATTTATTTTTTTCTATCATGGTAGGGTAAAGTAGACAGGGAGAACATGCTCTTTTTTATGAATTGTGTAATATTGGCCCTATTCTCTAGCATCACATAATAAGTCTGTGGTGGACCTTACATTTTACTTCTGATTGTACTTTATAGATTATGTCATATTAAAGTTCAAAAGGCTTTTTTGTCATATGCACAGCTACAGTGTAGTTATGCAATGAAAATTGCATCCCAAAGTCATGGGCTCCGGCAACAATGCAACATGTATATACATAGGATAAAAATAGAAATAGTCCAAGCAAATGTGGCAAGACTAATGTGCAAGTTATGAAGGAGAATGAATGATATGCAAGTAAAATAGAATAAAATGAGACACGGTGAAAAGGCATAACGTTACATTGTGTGTGACTGCATCTCTTTCTAGGCGGCGTCCCGTTCATCGAGTGCTCAGACAGTGCTGCTTCGTCAGTCTCCAGCCCTACAACCACAGACAGTGGCCTGGACACCTGCTCCAAAGCCACCTCCAGGGAGGACCTCTCCGACCTGGAGCCCTGCAGCTCCTCTGCCACCATGCTTCCTGACTCTGAGCCTGGCTCTCCAGATGCACAGGTACATAAAACAAATGTTTCGCTTTCCCCATTTCCATGTTGAATTTCTGAAGTTGTGTCTTTTGTTAGTGAGTGTGCTAAAGTGAAATTCCTGAATTGCTTTTGGAGCTGGTCACTTGAAGGATGACTAATGATTTATTTTCTGTTTTAAATTGTCTCTAGTCTGAGGGCAGTCAAGTTGGACCAGCTCAGTCGGCCTCAGTGGAGTCCATCCCTGAGGTTCTGGGGGACAAAGACAACGCTACGGATCAGTCAGACAGCGCCTCTATACATGACATGGACTATGTCAACCCACGAGGAGTGCGCTTTACTCAGTCCACTCAAAGAGACGGTAAGACTATACCAGGATTTCTCCGATTTCTTTCTCGACTTTTTTACAGTTGTGTTTTTGTATTGTTTCATGCCACTGTTAACTTGCATGAAAAGGATGTATTTACTCTTGTTTTCTCTGCAGGAGCGTCCATCATCCCTTATGGCTTGCCATGTCTAAGGGAGCTCTTTCGCTTCCTGATCTCCCTGACCAACCCCCACGACCGCCACAACACTGACGCCATGATGCACATGGGCCTGCAGCTGCTGACTGTTGCACTCGAGTCAGCACACTTCACTAACTACCAGTCTTTACTGGGACTGGTCAAAGATGAGCTCTGCAGACACCTTTTCCAGGTAAATAGAAATAAATGCTTGTTGTACAGTATTTACATGTGTTGTATATCTTCTAATATATACTTTATTATATTTTCTCTGCATAAGTGACAGGTGCTTTGCGGAAAAGTTCTTTTGTGATAAACCATTTGAACTATTTTTAACTAATTCAGAAATGATTAACAGACTTAAAAACAGGACCTGCTAGCAAGGGACTTCCATCGTAGATTGGTTGAATCTTGTAAGATCTGCTTTGATGGGCACCAAAGCATGTATATGTTTAAACCCATCAGCTGTGCATATTCTTGTGTTTGTTAACCTTAAAGTGGTGCTCTACTATTGCATAAGTCATTGTGCCTTCAGTCTTTCATCGTAGTAGGAACAGCAATTCAGTGATGGAGAGATCTGCAAAATTAAAATTGTATTTAGGAAAAGCTGGACTGATTTGCTATATTAATATTGTAATGAATCTTTTCTGATCATTTTGTCTGTGTTGTAGCTGCTGAGTGTGGACCGTATGAATCTGTATGCTTCCTCCATACGAGTTTGCTTCTTGCTTTTTGAAAGCATGAGAGTACATCTGAAGTTTCAGCTTGAGGTATGTAACTGGTGTGCATTATCTGATCTTTTACTCAATGATCTTCACGCTCTGTCAACCTTCAAAAGTAACTTAGTTGATCCAAATAAATGTTAAACCTAATAATCCTCACCCTGTGTCCTGTCAGATGTACTTGAAGAAGCTGATGGACATCATCACTTCAGAGAACATGAAGATGCCCTACGAGCTGAAGGAGATGGCTCTGGAGGCTCTGGTCCAGCTGTGGAGGATTCCTAGCTTTGTCACTGAGCTGTACATCAACTATGACTGTGACTTCTACTTCTCCAATCTGTTCGAAGACCTCACCAAGCTGCTGTCCAAGGTAACATCGTTATGGTGCTTATTACTGTTGCACATAAGACCATGAAAGTCCTTGTAAGATAGGGCAAGCTTTAATCAAATTCTTAGTTTTTCATTATTTTCGAACTTAAGTCCATTAAGTCTTCAAAAACATTGAAATTGGATTAGCTGTTATTTTACAAGTTCTTGAACACTTTTTACGTCCTGCTGTCGTAAGGAACATTAGTTATGCACAGTCGGTAAGCTTAGCATCCAAATGCGTGCACATTTTACAATGAACAGCTTCCTGTTTCAGTGTTGGGTGCACAATAATAGCCCTTTCTTATTTCCCAGTTTTCACCTCCTCGACTCTTCTCCTTGACTCCTCGCCTCGCGTCCTAGTCCCGCCCACAAGAGATGCGAACGGAGGAGTCGAGGAGGGGAACCAAGGAGAGAGGAGTGGAAGACGAGGCGTTTAGAGAAATGAGAACTCCTCTCCTCTGAGCGGTCATTTTAAAGAGACGTCCATTAATGATGACAGGAAGCACAGCAGCATCATCTGTCCAATGTTTTGATAAACCGCTGTATTTGATCTCCTCTGTAAGATGGACATAACTGTGTTCATGACAACTTATATATTTACTTTTATTTCCATTCACAGTGTGGTATAAGGAGACAATAATAGGCTACCGATGCGGACAGGCGCCGTTATGATTTGACGGAGGGGGAAACAGATTTAACTATTAAATATCCTGTAGACATGCTGAATAATAATAATATATATAAATATATAAATTAATTACGGCTCAAAAGTGTTTTTTAATTTTTTTTTAAGTAAGCAGGGGAAACCCGATTAAAGCAGTTGTTGTATTAAAAACATAAGTAGCCTAATATCCAGGGGAGATGTGATTAGTGAGTAAACTAACGGTAAAGGGCAGAAAGTTGGATGCACATTTAATAATCTTAAATAACCACAACATAATCACAACGGGAACATTTTGCAGATAAGTCCAGCCATGCGTCACGCCTCTTTTAAACATCACTGTTGCCGGAAATACATCCGCGGAGGATACATCAGTGTATCCTCGGTTATAGCTCCTCCAGAGAGCCTCCTCCATGCTTGATCCTCGATGTGCATTTTGAGCAATAGGATGTCCTTCAACATGGCGCGCTGAAATCCATTTCTGGGTCACTACAGAGGAGGTGAAAATTAGAGAAATGAGAAAGGGCTTATGTCTCAACAAGCTGTAATTAACAAGCAACGTGTTGCTTCAGCAGTAGAGATGGAAGCTTAGAACAGGGTTAGCTCTGCTGGGCTGCATCAGGGAATATCAGCTGAACATACTTTGCACGTCTGTCCATCCTGGGAGAGGGATCCCTCCTCTGTTGCTCTCCCTGAGGTTTCTCCCATTTTCCCCTTTAAAATGTGGGTTTTTCTCCGGAGGTTTTTCCTTGTACGATGTGAGGGTCTAAGGACAGAGGGTGTCGTTTTCTCATACTGATATTCTGTACAAACTGTGCTGTTGTATTTGCTGTAAAGTTTCTTTACTGTAGGGTATTTTTATTATATGTACAGCACTTTGGCTCGACCAAAAATCGTTTAAAAATGTGCTATATAAATAAAACTTGATTTGATTTGAACATACTATGGACAGATCCTTGTGTAAACATCTTTAATAACCACTGAGTAGACTGCAGAGGGCCACAAAGAAGCCCCACCCTAACTCAATATTTAGAGGCACATTGTACTTAGATTTTGCTCTGGACTAGAAAACAAATACAAGCTCCAACTGTTTTGTCCTCTATCATGCGACACTGTGGGGACATCTGCTGAGTTGAGGTTGTTGTTTATATTTGGTTTGTGAGCCATCAGGAGATGTTATAAATGTATAAACTACAAGTGACACTGATGCAACAGGTGACTGTTCGCGCAGAAGTTGGATTCATTCTAGTGTTTTTAGTTCATTTAGTGTAGTGGCCTTCTCACTACCCATTAATGTTACTGTTCTTTGTGTACAGTTCTGGTTACAGACTTTCTGTTGTTTTAAGTTGTAATTCATTAACATCAAAAGAGACAAAACACACAGTAAAAACCAAAAAGATGAATTAGGTTGATTTTTTTTTCCTAAACTTGTCCACAGAATATTTTGTTATTGTGAATTATTTCAGCCTTGATACTCTAATATCATGACAGCCCTAATGTCCAATGGATTCCAATCTCCCCCCTGGCTACAGAATGCGTTCCCGGTGTCGGGGCAGCTGTACACCACCCACCTGCTGTCTCTGGAGGCTCTGCTCACCGTGATCGACAGCACTGAAGCCCACTGCCAGGCCAAGGTGCTGAACAGCAGCGCTCAGCAGGACCACACAGACACCCTGCAGGCAGAGGGAGAGAACAGCAGGAACGGGACCGATACTACAACCGGTACACACACGGCTGACTGACTTTGTGGATATGAAACCGTATATTATATCTTAAATACTGTTAGAAGGCTCTAATAAATTAGAGCTTTTTGCTGTGATGTTTTTACTGGTAGTATTTCACTTTTGTCTAATGCTAAAATAATTACCAATTTTAGCAGCTATACACTGTTCCCATTAAAGTACAGAATCAAATTCTTCTTGTGCCCAGGAAGGCAGACAGTGTCCATACTTTTAAAGTTCACCTATCATGCTATTTTTAGGCAATACCATAGGTCTCAGATATATAAAAATATATAAAAAACATATCTATGAAGTGTTTTGCTCAAAATACCAAACAGATCACCCATTCTAGCCATGCCTCATATCCCTCCATTTCACTTCCTGTTTCAAAAGTGCTGATTTGGGTATAAAGCTTTGCCTACTGTCTAAACTAAATACTGCGGTGATGAAACGCCATATCATGGATTATCAAGGATTATTTCTGAAACAGTATGGCGCTCAAAGGCTTTCTCTCTTGCCGGTTATACCACAAGGTCAGTTCCTTTTTATTTCCTGCTTCTTCACACACATGCTCTGTGCAGTACAGGTTAGCTCTGAGTGTTAGCAATGCTAATGTAAACATGCACCGACCATATTACGTCCAAAACAGTCGGGCATTGTTTCTGATAGGTCCGTGGGTGTAAAGCCGGCCCACATTTCCGATATTACGTCAAATCGGACGCAAATCTGGATCAGCTCCGTTGTAGCCCCGTTTTTAGAGATTTGGGTACGGAGGAAAAGAGAGAGGGTTTTATTTTCTGACGCTGCGTGAGTTCCCCGACTCACCGGGGACACATATTTATGTAGAAAAGACATCAAAACGTGCATTTTGCATGATAGGTCCCCTTTAAGAGTGTGCTGAAGACCTTGCTTTAACAAAAGAAAAGCATAAAGTTAATGCTGGTGTAAGATTATTTTGTCCTCTTGAGTCCTACATTTTATGGTATTTTATTTTATTGTCTTTTTGTTGTTGTTTTCATCTCATTTTATTTGTATCTATTTTATTTGTATTTCACATACTATCATTTATTATTTTCTGCGTTTGTTAATCTATAAATCCTACTGAGACAAACGTCTTTTATGATATTGGGCTATATAAATAAACTTTGATTTATTTCATCATGTAATGTGTAAAGATAAAAAATAGAATGAAGAACCTGAGATATCAATAGCTTCATTTAAAAAATGCCAGTTGGGCCCTGACATGTATGTATATATTTTCTTTTTGACAAAACCCATTCTCCTTTTGGTCCTCAGATTTGAACAGACAGGGCAGTACCAACGGTCTGAGTCTTCCACAGGCTGAGGACGCCCCGGTGTGTCCACCAACCAGTGGACATCTGATGGCAGAGAAGATGACACTGGGCCGAGAGGACCAAGGGGACAATGACCCTGGTGAGAACTTCATCTTATACACATTCACTTTTAAGTCTCCATAAGCATTGGGATGGAGGCTTATGTAAGTTTTAATGTTTTTCATCCAGCTGAGAAGAGTGCCTCGAAAAAGCCTCAACGCTTCTCTTCATGTTTACCTGATTCCCAAGAGTTGATGGACATTAGAACAAAGAAAAAGGTCAGTGGTGTTGATTGATCTAGATTTATATAAGCAAGACATATGCATAACTAATTATAAAAGCCACTGCAATACCTTCAAACTGCTGTTGTGTGTCCTGTTCCCAGCTACTGATCACAGGCACAGAGCAGTTCAACCAGAAGCCCAAGAAAGGGATCCAGTTCCTCCAGGAGAAAGGTCTTCTCAGTAACCCCATAGACAACAACCAGGTGGCCCAGTGGCTCAGAGAAAACCCTCGACTGGACAAAAAGATGATCGGCGAGTTTGTCAGCGATCGCAAGCACATGGAGCTCCTGGACAGCTTTGTAAAGTAGGGGACAATTCAGAGCATGACTGCCATTTGTTCTAGGGTTGATAGGGTGTCGATGTTTTAGTTCCCATGAAACATCGCTATGTTTGATGTCAATAGTAAATAATGCTTGTGGTAAAATATTTGAAGTTCTAATAAAGTCAATCCTTTTTGCAGCACATTCGGCTTCCAGGGGCTCCGTATCGATGAGGCCCTGCGGCTCTACCTGGAGGCCTTCAGACTCCCAGGAGAGGCTCCTGTCATCCAGAGACTCCTCGAAACCTTTACCGACAACTGGCATGTGAGGCACTTTTGCTCAATTGGAGAATTAGTTTTTCTTCTGGATAGGTACTTTTTACAATGTATCAGCAGCAATTTGACCTTCAGATTAACAAAGAATTGGGTTAGGAGCACATCATACCAGATCTGTGGACCTGACTGTTGTTCTTCTAAAAGTCAGACTTTAAAAAGCCACTACACTTTAATCTTGAGTGACAGCAGCATAATCAGAACATGAATGATGATAAAATAGGAGCCAATCTAAGACTGAGCTTGAACTGATGATTTTTTTGTTGTTGAATGGAATTAGATGCATTTTGACATACAGACTCATAAATGTGGACTCAAGGCTCAAAAAAAGACTTTCAACTCCTCAGTGACCTGAACAACAGAGACTCGTGACTTCACTTGAGCTTTTGACTTAGAATGACAAGTGTAGTGCGGACAACTATCTCGTCCTTTTTCTGACAATATATAACATAAAAGAACTCATCAGCAGCCCAGCTTCCAACTTTGTCTGACTTTTAAGGCTTCGTAAATACATGATATTTTGCCTGTAGCATCATGTTCTTTTCCCAGCTCCTTTCTACTTTGTGATTTGTAAAACAATGACTTGGTCCCACCTGCTACATTTCCCATATCTTCAAACACAATCATTTTTCTGATTCATTGCAGTAAATACTTTAGGCTGGTGCCTTTATGACACACCAGCTACAAATGGACCTTTCCTTCATCAGATAATTCCAGCTGTTGTAAAGGTGGTGAAAGTATAAATCAAACACTGTCACATGATGGTCCCTCCGGGTTATAGTAGTAGGATGACATAAGTGTTAACACAGACACACAGTGATGGACAAACTCCCCAGGGGGAACATTTGACTTCTGAAAATAGCAGAAGGAGCCATGTGTGCTGGAAACTATGCGTAGTAATGTCCTTTTCTTAGGCCGCACACATACACTCAGATAGTGGCCTTGAAAGAGTTGCTGAGTAATTGTAGACAGTGACTGTGTAAATGACTTTTCCACTCTGAGTTCACTGTTATATCAGCAGGAAGTGCAAGGTGAGTCTTTCATAGCCTCACATGATGTGCTATTTATGTGTGTTCTGTGTGTGTGTGTGTTTGTAGAAAGTGAACGGCTCTCCTTTCATGACCAACGATGCGGGCTTCGCCTTGGCCTACGCTGTCATCATGCTGAACACTGACCAGCACAACCACAACGTCCGCAAGCAGAACATCCCCATGACCATAGAGGTGAGTGGTCCCACGCACGCACGCACGCACGCACGCACGCACGCACGCGCACACACACACACACACACACACACACACACACACACACACACACACACACACACACACACACACACACACACACACACACACACACACACACACACACACACACACACACACACACACACACACGTTGTGTAAATGGAAATATAAACACCTAGGTTTGTTGGTTGTTTACCCATCATGCCTGGAGCAGAAGTACCATATGTAGCTCAGTCTCGGTCTCGGCTCAGTAGAATGAGTGGGGAGAGAAAGTAATTCTGGTTTCGGCTTTAAGAGCATTTTACAACTTTTAGACCGTAATGATTCAAATAAGAGCTATAAAAGTGTTCGTGCTGGATAGTTAATTTAGTTTTAAAAAGAAGTATCCGCTGATTTACAGACGTCTCTTTCCAAATATAAGTCAATGGTAAAAAGCATTTTTGGACCCTGGGATGTCACGGACTGACACAGAAGGTGTAGTACTGCCTTTTGGCCACTATGGATTTTGCCTCAGCGAACTTCCTGGGGGTTTCGTTTCTTGCAGCAAATTCTTTTCTCCACCATTATTTTTGTTCTATTGTTGTGGGCCAACTTCAGAGGGGCTTACTGCTTTTCTCAAGTTTCCGCTGTTAAAAATGTTTCTGTGTGAGACTTGGTTAATTCATCCTTTAATATTTCCATCTGTCGACATTTAGCCGACAAAAGTGGAACATTTCCAATTTCCTTTATCCTACACAAAACAGAATGTAGTCACAAAAAGATTGGGAAGTGTTAGTAGTGAAGGACCAATGAAAAGTCACTATCAACATGCTTTATTCTGCCAAGTAATGAGAAATATAGCCTTTGTAAAATAGGGAGAAAACTGAAAAATAATGTACTTTTGTGTTTAACACATTTTAGTTTCTAGATGTATTTAAGGAATCAGAATTCCTTTACTCATCCCTACAGAGGGGGAATGTACTATTACAGCAAAACTAAAGATAGAGCCAACAGCTGTAGGCAGAGGTGGTCCGTCTGAGAGGAGGACTCATCCTGACCGGGGGGGGGCGGTCTCTGCCTCTCCCTTCTTCTGTCGTCTCTTTCTCTGTTTTCTCTGTCTGTGATTGACAGCGGCTGAAGACTAAACAGAGTCTCTGGGCTAGCCTGTGAGCAGTTTGTGGGTGGGCCACTCTCACTGGCAAACAATAGCAAGTACTTACTTTCTCTCTGGGTCACTCTCTATTATAGACACACACTTTGTAGAAATGATCTGTCTTGTGTGCAGTCCTAGCTCATCATTCAGCTGCTGTATGTTTTTCATGATCCCGACACATTCTCAAAGGTCTGTGTGGTTTGATGAAGGCTGGTTGACCTCCAGGCTCAGACACCAGGCAGAGGCTTCCACACAATAGTTTGTAGATGGCCAGTAAAAGTGGCGCCTGGCACTTTGGTTACTTAGCAGCTTGCAATGTGTAGCATTCACCACAGCATGTGTTGGCAGTGGGGTTATTTTTGAATGGGAAAACTATACTTAGCCTCACTGTGTAAATCAGATCCTATTTCCAAGGATCTGACAGTGAGATGACGTGTGTTAAGTGAGGTACAGGTAAGGTCAGTGTGATGATCTTCATAGTGTCTAATAAATACAGAATGCTGCTTTGTTTTGCAGCCTGTGTGTTATGGGTTTGGTTAACATTGGCTGCTCTGGAAACGTCTCTCTGATAGTGACTGACTGTGTGCCAGTCCCTCACATGAGTCTTGCAGATGGAAGTAGATAACAGAGTGATCCTCGGTGGCCTCTCTGCCGATGTTTATTTTCCTGCATGTCCCTGCAGAGAAGCTGCAGTTCAGATCCTCCTCTTCTTAGCAGCCAGGAGGACAGACCGTCTGATGGGGGCAGAACCCCCAGCCTTGAGGCCGTCAGTCATCGCAGGGTGCTGGTGTTTATTTACAGGAGGCTCTGGGCTTTAATCCCTGTTTTCCTAACACTGCAACTAAAGCATATTAAGTAACACATGGCCAGTGCGTTTCCACATAAAGCCCTTTTAATTGTTGGTTGCTGGATGCTCCGTTAACGAAGCCCTGAATGCCAGAGGCTGTCTGAGCTAAGCTCCTGTGTTGAGATGCATTGACTGACACAATGATGGTGGAGAGATGACAGTGTATTTGCCCCCAGAAGAATGGAAGTTATTTGAATAAAGCTTCTGAATAAAGGATGAATATTCCAACTCGTATTCTGAACTCATATTCTCTTTTACAGCAATTTAGGAAAAATCTGAAGGGAGTTAATGGAAACAAAGACTTTGACCAGGACATGTTGGAGGATATCTACAATGCTATCAAGTAAGCTGACACACACCTATAAATGTTTTTATATATATATATATATAAAACATAGGCATTTTTGTAAGAGCCTTTATCATTCTGCATTGGAGATAACAGCTGAGGTGTTTTTCCTCCGTAGGAATGAGGAGATTGTGATGCCTGATGAGCAGTCGGGGTTAGTGAAGGATAACTATGTATGGAGTGTGTTGCTACACCGAGGCGCCACACCTGAGGGTATTTTCCTCCACCTGCCTGCTGGCAGCTACGACCATGACTTGTTTACCATGACCTGGGGTCCTACCATCGCTGCCCTCTCCTACGTCTTCGACAAGAGCCTGGACGAGAACATCATCCAGAAGGCCATCACTGGCTTCAGGTATACTACTTTACAGAGCCAGCAGCTATGTGGCGGGACAGGGACAACTGTGTTCTGGCCGTTTATCAAAAGCACATTGTTCTAAGTCCACAGGAATTCAAGCTCTGACTCGCATTTGAAAGCGTCCAAATACCTTTAATGAAGACCCAATGTACTCACAAGTCTCTGGGGTTTATTCATGTCAATAACACAGATTCCAAATCCATACTTCAAGACGCGTTTAAACTGGATACAGTCAAATAAACACAAGTACTATCACCCTATCAAGGGTTGAAAGCGGACTTTTTCGTTCCTCGCTTGCAGATATCCATTGTCTCACTGGCGTAACAGCTTTTTAAACTCTTGGCCCTGCGCACTAAAGTCTGCTTTACGGCATGAAAGTAGGTCGTAAACAGTTATACAAATAAAACTTTGCACAGTCCATGAAACGTGGATACATACAAAACAATACCAAAACATTATTATTATAAACCATGATTATTACATTCATTTAAATTCAATTCAAAGAATATACAACTATCTTGTCAACATCAATATTTACCATACATAATTATGCGCCTGATTTAAATATTTGGGCCGCTGTTGATCAGGAGGTAGAGCAATGACATCCCCGGCTCCTACAAGTGGTGTTACATTAATACTCAAGTATCTAAAGAAATCGACACGAAAAAGACACGTATGCAGTTGTTAGAAAATGCATACGTGTATTTCCACAAAGGCTGGTTTGAACAGTTGAGCACTTTCTTGAGGGAGCGAGTCACTGGAAGACTCTCCCTGCTTACTGGTGCTCTGAGGAGGGAGCCTCTGAGATGTATGTTGTGCGAACTGGAATGAAAGGTATCTACTCGTATACCACAGTAGACCAATCGCTGTCACCCTCAGATTGCCATGTGTTCTGGATGGTTTTTAGGTGGGTTTTATGCTGTAATCATATGTGTTTCTGTCCTTGCAGGAAATGTGCAATGATAGCGGCTCACTATGGCTTCAGTGATGTTTTCGACAATTTGATCATCTCCCTCTGCAAGTTCACCACCCTGAGCAGTGAGGTGAGCCTCTCCCAGAATCCTGTGCTGCTAACGTGCTCCACTGTTTCAGCACTGCAGGGTGTGGACACAACACAACACTTAAAGCTGACATTATTCACATGTCAACAAAGTGCAGTCAAAAGTCTATTGTTCACATAAAGTACAAATTAAGAACCTGTCCTGAACTACATAAAGACATTGGTAAGAATTGTTCGCTGCCAGAGTTTCTGATCATGAATTGCTTTGCTCCTATCTCTGAAAATCTGATATCGATAACTTGATAACTCATTTTTTTTGTTATTTATCAGTGCTGCACATATTTAATGTCAGCTCAAAAATAGACTATTATAGAAGTATTTTATATATAAAAAGCATGTTTAAATAACATTTGATAAATGCTTTATTCCTAAAGCCAATCCCTAGCTGAGTGGAGCAAAACATTGTCACATATCCTCTGGAAACTACGACACAACAACATCAAAAGAAAAAGAAAACAACACATATCCATACATCCACATCTTAATGTAGGAATATCTATATAATAGCAATGCACAAACAAGAAACTGTTGGATGTCCTACATGGAAGCAAGGTATCATTTGGGCAGGATGAGCAGATGCAGTGTCTGTATGAGCATGTCTGTTGACTGAGGGCTGTGTCCTCTCCCTGTGCAGTCTGTGGAGAACCTCCCCACAGTGTTCGGCAGTAACAACAAGGCCCAGACGGCAGCCAAGACGGTGTTTGACCTCGCCCATCGGCACGGCAACATCCTGAGGGAGGGCTGGAAGAACATCATGGACTCCATGCTCCAGCTGTTCAGAGCCGAGCTGCTGCCCAAAGCCATGGTGGAGGTCAGGACTAAACACTGTTTCCCTCTGTCAGTGACTGAGCTGCTGTGTGGTAACACTGCACACACAGTACAGTGTGCTGGGGTGTGAAGAAACACCCTACATCAGGGGGGTCCAAACTACGGCCCAGGGGGAAACTGTGGCCCGTTGTCCATTTTGAAATGGCCCTCAGCTAATTCTTAAAATATAATGGAATATGTCACACACTTGAAACTTGTGCTTGTCTTATATTGTGAACATATATTACATAGTAGTATTCATGTTTTAGTAAGCCCACTTTTCAAATACAGTCAATTGATTGTCAATTAAATATAATCTTCATATTTCCACTTATTATAAGCAATGTGAGGCTTCTGGTTTAAGGGATGAGCTGCCAAACCTTTTTGTAACAAAATAAATGAAACCCTCTGGAGAGCTGTGATAGGCTGTTTGTTTTCTTATAGCATATTCAAGTATCAAGAATAATTTAGTTAGATCATTTTGATTTAGCTAACTTATAACTTCACTTATGAGGCAATTTACCTCACCTCTAGTGAGGGGCCCCCGCCCTTGTATGTTCTTCTGTATGTGGCCCTCAGTGAAAAGAGTTTGGATGCCCCTGTCCTAAATGTTCTGCTGCCATCTACTGGTCACTGCTCAACACTGTGCTTCTTGCCTCAGGTGGAGGATTTTGTGGAGCCCAATGGGAAAATCTCTCTTCAAAGAGAAGAAACGCCTTCAAATCGGTATGCACATATCTCACCGAAGTTCATAAGAATATGTTTTCATGCTATCACAGTATGATATTTTTCAAGGTATACTGCTCTTGAAAAATGAAGACATTAAGAACAAATTGTTCTTAAATCTCAATCTTTACATGTATGGCAGCCATTCCATTCGAGTGTTTGTTGAATTCCAACACAGAGAAATGTTGTCAGTAGTTTATAGAATAAAATACAATCTTTTTTATTGTACTCAAACACATACCTATAAATAGTGAAACCAGAGAAACTGATAATGCTGCAGTGGTCTATTCATTTTTTCCAGAGCTGTAACTAAAGTTATGCGTTTCTTTATCACTCCAGCCTTTGAAATGTTTTCATTTAGTACTCTTTGATTCCTAGAAACAGAGACCAGCTTTTTATAATAAGGAACAATGTATTCCATAATACAATCTGGACTAGCGGCAAAAGTGTAAACCTAAAAGTGTGATCTGTTTGTCAGTGGTGAGTCGGCGGTGCTGAGTTTTGTCAACTGGTTGACTCTGAGTGGAGCCGAGCAGTCAGGACTGAGAGGGCCGTCCACGGAGAACCAGGAGGCCAAGCAGGCCGCCCTGCTCTGCATCAAGGTGCTGTGCAGTACAACATGTGTTATTAGGGTGGTCCTTAGTGCCATGTACATTTTCAAATGTTTAAGCTCCAACCTCCGGAATTTGTTATGGTAGTCAAGAAAACTCTCCTGGTAAATTTTATTCAAATTCCAACAACATGTACCCCTCCCTCATCAACCTTGAAGTTTAGCCTCACGTAGGGTGGTCCTTAAAATTGAAAGTCGAAAAGTCTAAGCTCCAACCCCCAGAATTCATTCTATTAGTCAAGAAAACGCTCCTGGTGAATTCTTTCCTCAATCTGACAACATGTCATCGAGCTGCCACACCAGCAGCCACGGTGCTGCAACTGAGGCTGAATTCAACAGGAGAGTTTTCTTGACTAATAGAATGAATTCTGGGGGTTGGAGCTTAGACTTTCCGACTTTCAATTTTAAGGACTACCCTAATGTGTTATACCAAGGCAAAGAAATACAAATAAATGATGTATTTTAATGCCATAGATAGTTATTATTATGTTTTTGTGCTGATACGTCAATGTTTCTTGCTGCATGATCACTGTGAGATAAATGCATCTTCAGTTCCTTTTCTTCTCTCTTTATCTCGTGGTCATCAGTCTGTCTATGAATAGTTTTAAAGCTTCTGGCTAATGCCTTAAATATTCTTTGTTTTAATGACTGCATTATTTGTTCCATGACATCACTCATTCATGTAGCTTTCGCCGTATTAATATGACATCACATTTCTCTTTTTTTGTCTTTCTAGCAATGTGACCCAGAGAAGCTGATCACAGAGAGTAAATTTCTACAGCTGGAGTCTCTACAGGAGCTAATGAAGGTTATTCATATTTATGTTCAACCTATATGTATTACATCAATGTCTTGCTCTGTAATTGATAATAACTGATGGGGTAGAAGTATTTACTCAAGGTGCTTAGGAATGTTTATTCATAAAGACAAACCACATTCCTCTCTTCAGGCTCTGATATCAGTCACCCCAGATGAAGAGACCTATGATGAAGAGGATGCTGCCTTCTGCTTGGAGATGCTGCTGCGAATCATCCTGGAGAACCGGTAGGAAGGACACTCTGTCAGCCACACCTTTACAGCTCAGTTACGTGTGTTGTCTTATTTGTGTGTGTGTGTGTGTGTGTGTGTGTGTGTGTGTGTGTGTGTGTGTGTGTGTGTGTGTGTGTGTGTGTGTGTGTGTGTGTGTGTGGTGTGTGTGTGTGTGTGTGTGTGTGTGTGTGTGTGTGTGGTGTGTGTGTGTGTGTGTGTGTGTGTGTGTGTGTGTGTGTGTGTGTGTGTGTGTGTGTGTGTGTGTGTGTGTGTGTGTGTGTGTGTGTGTGTGTGTGTGTGTGTGTGTGTGTGTGTGTGTGTTGTGTAGAGACCGTGTGTCATGTGTGTGGCAGACAGTGCGGGACCATCTCTGCCATCTCTGTGTTCACCCCAACGAGAGCTGCTTCCTGGTGGAGAGGGCCGTGGTGGGACTCCTCCGCCTCGCTATCCGCCTGCTGCGGCGTGAAGACATTAGCTCTCAGGTACACACACACACACACATGGACCCACACACTGCAGCAGCAGGGTTGGTGTGATGTTACAGGCTAAGATAATCATCTCAGGTCAGCACACTGAAAGGTCAGCTCACATCCAAACAGCTGATGCTGCTCCACAGACATGTGTCTTTTCCTGTCCTTGACCAGCAGGTCTGAAAGACATCGTCTGTCTAAAATCTCTCTTTAAACATAAATCATGCTGCATCTGGAGCTGGCTTTTATATAGATGCTTTTTATTTTCCAAAAGGCCTGTAATCTATGATATGTTAATTACTGATTCATCTGTGTATGAAATAAAAAAATCTGAAAAATTGTCCATCACAGTTCCTAAAAGTCTAAGGTGATGTCTTTAAATGTTGTCTCTTGTCAGTGCAAATTGAAAAGAATATTCACTTAAATATGATCTCAATATTTGTGAAGCTGAAAGAGCATTCACTGCGCTTTTTGCATTACAAACGTTGCTGCTCTTTCATCTTTAATTCATGTAATTCGGTAAACTTCAAACAACTTGGGTACACATACTTTCTAACGAGGTTTTACAAAGATGTGCTTGGTGAATAATATGCTGCCAAAGAGTATAGAGCAGTATTAATGAATGGAAGACTGGAACACATGCAGCCCAATGTACACAGACAAACCAAAGCACCCATCTGCCTCAAATACTCACTGGAGTATGTTTGTATTTACTTGCACTATTTATTTTATTCGTTTATTTCATCATCATAACTACACTGTAGCTATGTACGTATGACTAATTAAAGCCTTGAACCTTGAAAGAGAAAATAATCAAATAAGACATTAGTGTTTTAACGGAACTAGTTTACAGTAAGATAAATCCACCAGCCTGTTCCTCTTTAATGCTTTCATGGCACAACAAATATAAATGGGACACAAAATGTAGGGTCAGTGATCTGCTTGATCTGAAAACTCTTTCACCAGGGTCCCAGAGCTAATCTGACATCCAGTCATTAAAGACAGGTGGTCACTGACAATAGGGATGAGTCATGTTATCATGTCAGCGCTGATGACCTACAGTATACTACAGTAAGGTTCACAGGTGGACTGCAGGTGTTTATGTTTTGTGTCAAACCTACTTTTCAATATGACCACTGTCTGAACACTAATATCATCAGCAGTCCTGCATTGTGTCCAAACAAAGACTCTGTGACATGTGTACTGATAAGAAGGTAATTTAATGCTGACCTGACCTCTTACTAGGAGGGTGACCTACATTTAAACCCCCTGATTTAATACTGAGCAATCAGCATTGCATGTCTTGTATGTGTGTTGGTCTGTGTATATGTACAAATACACAGTTTGAACTCTGAGTACAGCATTTAATATATTTCAATGACTTGAAGTTAATTTAAAATACTCCATACTATCCTCTAAACATCTTACCTGTTTAAATCGTTTTTTGGATAGATTTCATAAAGTAAATGTTGACTTAGGAGAATATTTCCAATGTTTGTGGCTGTTTAAAATGAACTGAATAATAAAGAAAACATGTAGAGGAGGACATTTGACTAAAAATGTTTGTACAGTATGTGACCTTTTTTCTGACAAAGTGATGTTGGAATCATAAAATATCAGTAACATTTCAAATTGAGGCTCTGTATCAGAGTGGTGAGGGATTGTTGTTGCAGCAGCTGTTTTTCAGCCATGATGATCCACTACTTCAGATCAAATATAAGCAGCTAGGAAGAGAACTTTACTGTTGAAGTGATCCGCAAAGTAGTACTTTATTAAAAATCATTGAAAATCCTGTATTTGACCTAAAGTAATTATATTGCATATATTACCCCCTGATGGTCTCTCCATGTGCCCCCGCAGGTCCTACACTCGCTGCGCCTCCTGCTGATGATGAAGCCTCACGTCCTGTCCCGGGTCAGCAGGGAGGTGGCCTATGGCCTCCATGAGCTACTGAAGACTAACGCAGCCAACATCCACTGCACCAACGACTGGTTCACACTCTTCTCCCTGCTGGAGTGCATCGGAGCTGGAGTCAAACCTCCCGCCTCCTTCCAGCTCTCCTCCACCCACAGCGACCACGACGCAGGTATATGTCTCTCCACATCTCAACAAAAACATCTAATAAAACGTGTTACACTGATGAACACAACCTTTATTACGCATTCTTTGGCACCATCAATACTTCTTAAACTTAAAGCCAATCATTTAGTTGGAATGCTGATACAGCATTCCAACTACTTGTTCTTCGACGCACGAAATTCTTTATTATTCCACCGGGTTATTTTGTACCTCTTCTTCTCCCACATTGAACATCGCAGAAACTCCGTTCAAACATCAAAACGTTCAGCTCGGTCGGGAGTCGATGGCTATTACTTTTCTCATTCATAACTTTCATAATTCCAGAGATACATCCCATAATTCATCACATTTTTAACATGGAAGTCAATGGAGAAACTCTTCAGACTTGAACAATCTTCATGCGACTTCAACTGCTAACTGCTCCTTCACACTTTCACTCAGAAACCTCATTCCAACTTTAAAATGTTACACATCTTTCTGACATTATTCATATTAAACAACTTTTAAATCGGATTCATACTTTTAGAGATATTAAACATTGTTCAGACCTTGTTAAAGAGGCCTTCTTCAGATTTTAAAATTAGTGTGTATTGCGCAGCTCGTTAAGGCTAGAGTGCGTGATGTCACAGCTAGAGTGGAGGACAGCTTGAAATTCGCCTTCATATATTTTTTTAAACCTGCCATAATTCCCAAACCCTACATTCCTGAGACATAATTTTTCATGAGAAACGTCGGAAAACATCTCGTAGCTTGAAAAATGAAAAGAAATTAAGCAAAATAATTAAATAAAATGCCTCTTGAGGGCATGAAGTGACTTTCAACATGTCTCCATTAAATCCCATTGTAAGTTCAGCCTCATCTTTCCCCACCACAGCAGCCGCACACCTTTAGTTAATCTGCCAAAAAGGCCACATTATTAACCCGAAAGTACACAAAAAGCACACTTCAGATGCTCAGAGTTCTTGAGATGCTTCACGCTTTGAAATTTCACCGATATCTGTTACGGTTCTTCAACAAAGTGTTCGCATGTAAGAGGTTTATCTCTCATTCAGAACAATGCAAATGCTCTCCTCTCACTAATCACCATGGAAACCTTTGATCTCTGGACACGTTGTTAGCTCAAATATAAACACCTGTGTCATGGAACACGATGATGTCATAACTCCAACTGACATGCTCAGAGCAGCAGACTTCAGATAATGGTTAATGGTCCAGCCTTCAACATGTCTATGTGCCATTAGTGAGTTTTCCTCAAAAGCTGTTGCCATGGCAATGTATCCCTCGCCGTAAAACACGATATTGCTACAGGGTGTCCGCGGGGTCTTAAAAAGTATTAAAAGTTGATAAATCAATTTAGCAAAAATTAAGGCTATTAAAAAGTATTAAAGGGCATTTTCCAAGGTATTACATTTTGTAGCTTGTTTTCAATAAGTATATCAATTGTCCAAAGAGGTTGTATTCTACAGTCTGCCTGAATGTAATCATTGCGTAGGTGTGTAGTGTGATTCTGTGTAGTTTGTTTATGGCATCCCGTTGGATTGGACGTCATCTGAACAGGACATCGCACGCTCACTGCTTGATAGCGTGCGAAGGTCCGTTTACGCCGGTTGTTAAACAACATCGTTATGGGGAAATGCAAGTTTGCGTCCAAATGGTTGGAAGATAAGGAGGAAGGACAATCAATACTGTATATAGTAAATGTGAGGTAAAGTGTGTCGCCAATGTAACCGGTTAAAACTCAAAGTGGCGATGAGGTCTTAAAATGTATGGAAAGGGTCTTAAAAAAGGTCTTAAAAGGCATTACATGGCATTACATTTGACTTCAGGATTCCTGCATATACCCTGTGCTATAACTCCTATGAAAATGGTCAAAAAGTGCTTAAACTTCACATGTGTGCTAACAGTCCAGCCGTGAAGACATCTATTTGACAGTTTTAAGATTTCTTCAAATGCCGTTGCCTTGGCAACACAATGCTCACTATGAAACACGGTTTTCTCACAACTTCAGTTCAAATGCTCGAAACGGCCCAAAACTTCACAGGTTTGGTAACACAGCCATCAACACATCTAAGCGTATTATGGGGTGTCATCAAATGCCGTTGCCATGGCGACATCATTCGCCATCAAGTTAGTTCAAAAGTTTGCAGTTCAAATATTCTGCTGCTTTTCCAAGCCTTTTTACTTTCTTTTCTTCACTCATCACACATTCAAGCCCCCAGTGTTCATGTATCATTTCAATCTAAATTCTTCACTTTCTTCTTACACATTACTTTTCAGCATAGCAGTTTAGCGTCAGCTTTTCAGCGTAAAGCATTCCCACTAGCAATTTCTTCAGGAATTGCATTCTCTAGTTTTTAATAATGTTATTGGACTACAGACATTTCCCTCGGACTGATTGAGTTTACAATAAGCAGCCGTTAATCCCTAAAAGAAGTTCAAAGCACAGTACTAGCATATGTATGCTAAACCTCATTGGTTTAGTTTTTAAATGGATTAAAAAGACATTGAAAATATGAAATAAGATGATGCAACCCTTAAACGGTTTCTGTATCCTAGGAGAAACAGTCATTTCACAAGCTCCATGTGTAGAACATGGGTGTAATACGGATGTAATATTGGTGTAATAACATTGTAATATGGGTGTAAAAACCATGTAATTTGGGTTTAACATGGGTGTAATAATGGATTGATATGGTTGTAACAATGGGGATGTATTTATGTGTAATATTGGTGTGATAACAGCCTAATATAAGTGTAATGTAGAAAAAAGCAATCAGTTTATTTTCCCAAAAAGTATATTTGATTTCCCATTTAAGGATTTAAGAGATTGTCCCAACATGTTTTGTTTGTGAACCCATAAAGGCTGTGGATTATCCATTAAACAAAGAGACCATGTTATTTTGTTCACCCAGTGAAATTCTAATAAAAATGTATTGTCCTGTGTGTGTGCAGGGGCGCAGTCGGACAGCGAGCTGGCGTCTCATCATGTCAGCGAAGTGGACTCAGAGCGCGGCTACACCTCAGACTCAGGAGTCTACACGGAGCACAGCAAGACCAGGGTCCCTCGCTCTGCCACAGACCTGGATGTAGCAAGCAGCGGCTGGCTCCTGGTACACTCACTCACTCACTCACTCACTCACTCACTCACTCACTCACTCACTCACTCACTCACTCACTCACTCACTCACTCACTCACTCACTCACTCACTCACTCACTCACTCACTCACTCACTCACTCACTCACTCACACATACACGAACACACACACATGTAACAATGTAACCTTAGAAAAGAAGAAACCAAGATACTTAAAAAATGTAGTTCGAGTAAAGTTTACAAATGCTGTATAAGCGTAACACATTAATTAAAAGCATAGAGTGTTTCATAAATCAGGTGTCCAGCTACTGCTGTTTATTTATATTTCTGTGATCTGTATGTGTTTCAGGTTGGGAAAGATGACACTGCAGTGAACTCTAAAGCTCAGCTCAATAACCCCCTGGTCAACCAGTACAGTCTGACTCTGGGTCAGGACCTGGGCCAGCATGACACCAAGTCTCTCATCAAGTGTGTGGAGACGCTGTCCTTCATCGTCCGTGACGCCGCCCATGTCACCCCTGATAACTTTGAGCTGTGTGTCCGCGCTATACGAGTGTTTGTGGAGGCCAGTCTCAACGGAGGTGAGACATTGAACTACATTTTAAATGTCACGGGAGCTATTTAAAAGAAGGCACTCGGATAAAGATATAAAACTACCCAGAGATGATTACAAATAGATAGTAACTGGATAGTGTTACAGCTTGTGAGCAGAAGCTTCAATAGGTCCTCCATGTGAGGCACCATTTTGCTTCACTCATTACAGGGTGATTTAGTACTGCACATCCGTGAAGCTGGGGGATTAATGATATTGGTCCAATCCGTCAGCAGAGGCAGAGACTCCATGTCCCCACCTTGTAATGCAGGCTTTCCATTAAGTATGTGAAGTGTCAGAGCAAACAGAACACAATCTAAAACTGTTGATCCATCCTGAGTGTTCCTTTTATTAGGGCTGTGATTCAAATTCATCTTATTGACTGGGTATTAGTTATTTAGAGAAAAGTTAGATATTCTTTTAGAAAGAATTTGATTTGGCTTATCTGAGTGTTAACCTAAATATCCAGTATATGGCAGGTACTTCTGCACGAATTCACCAGTCTTGCATTTACACACCCCAATAACTTTAAGAGAAAGGATGTTTTATGAATCAGTCTGTAGAAATCATTTGACTGAAATACAAGTACAAAATCGTACATCCTGTTTACAGCAGCAGCCATTTGTCTTCAGTCTGCTTGTCTTCTCCCCCCCCCCAGCCCCCCCCCACCCCACCTCAGTGTCCTGCCCTACATTCCTCACCCTCTCTCAGCCCTTTAACATCCTTGTCATCTGCCCCTAAAACCTTTTCCTCCCCTGTTTCCATTCATCCCTGCCTGTGCTGTTGTGATCTACAGTATGACAGGGATTAGGCTTGAGAAATGGCTGTGGTGCACTTGAGCTGATGGCCTATTCATTTTCTCCCTGTGCTTCAGGCCATTAGATACACGCTGTCAACAGAGCTTTACGCAGACAACAAAAGCGATGGGTCGATCAAAGCACTGGGCTGAGGCACGGCGCTAATCTGTATGAGATACTAATAGAAAGTGCAACACCTGCTATTACTCCATTCAGGCCTGTGGTCCCACTTCACTTTCGATTGAAGGTGGTTCCAATATAAATGGAAGGTTTGTTTTGGAAATGGCCCATAGCTCTGTGGTTGTTTTGAGGATCACTTTGGGTGTGATGAGGTCATGAAAGTACTTTTTTTGCATGAAAAAGCATTTAACACTTGGGTGTGTGCAATGACTGCATGCCAGTAACAATGGGTTGCAGTGAACATATTGAGTTTGATGTTTGTCACCGAGTCTTTGCAGTGTCTTCAGAGTCTGATCCACTCTCTGGCCTAATACACCTGTAGTGTGCCTATAGGTCAGCTTCACACAGCAGCACCGTAGGCAGGCCCATCATGGTTTTTTTTCCATTAGCTCAATCAATCAATCAAATTGTATTTATATAGCCCAATATCACACATTTTACATTTGTCTCAGTGGACTTTACCACTTGTACAGAATATGAATACGACACCCTCTGTCCTTGGACCCTCACATCGAACAAGGAAAAACTTCCAAAGAAACCCCACAGTTAATGGGAAAATGGAAGAAACCTCGAGGAGAGCAACAGAGGAGCAATAGATTTTGTGTGTTAATGAAAAAGATAATACATTTAAGACATCGGTACATTAGTGCAGATGCTGGAGAATGTGTCTATACATTTTCAAGGTGTTCTCCAAACTGTTATGGGATACCAAATACATTTTCAAAGAATGTTACAAAAATGCTGTATATAGACCCAAAGGTTTTGAACATTTAAGCGGTAACAGTGTAACCGTTGGTTAGAAGCCCCAGTATCAATGACACACACTGTGTACTCAACATACACCCCCCCCCCTCCTCCTTAGAACAACCTCCTACTACTTCCACTTTTCCTTCCCAGAAACAACTGTTCTAATTCCCACCTCGTACAGGTGCTTGTCTGTAAAATGTAAACACAATTCATTTGTGCTGTAGGTCAGACTCCCAACCTCACACATGCACACTTATAGAACCACAGTGCTAGTTCCTGGACGTGACATGTAGGCTGCTCTGCTGAAGAACTTCAAAAGACAAAACACAAGACTAAGATTTTCTGTAAATGAACCCACACCCCACATATTGATGCAAAGATTAAATATACTAATCAAAGCATATCACATTTTTTTTGAGGGTAGTACCAGAGGAAACATGGTATTATTTAAAAAAGGGGGGTTTACTCTGCGGGGAGCATTTCTGTGTCTTTCTTATTCCGTGTGGGTGACCTTCACTCAAAACATAACTTAGCTGCCATCACAGAAATGCATTAAAGCTTCTGCAGGTCTATTGGAGTGTTTTTCCTCTTTGCTCAGCATACCTCAACTCACCTAAACATCTTTGGGAAGACTTGAAATCAGAAGAGATTAGTCAGGCGCTTTTGGAATGCTAGAAAAACGTAGTGGTCGGTACCATAGTTATAGCCATCAATGGGCATTCAAGGGTCAGATCCACCCCCCCCCAAGGAAAGGAATCACCTCCTCTGCCTCTAGTTTTATATCCTAAATACTAAAGATCTGTATCTCATTTGATTATTTGCTCCCTTAGGTTACCGCAACCACGACAAGAAGAAGAGCCACAAGTACGACTCGTCCAAATCCCGGATGAGGAAGAAGGCAGGGGGGAGGGACAAGGAGGGGGGAGGAGGCACGAGGCGAGGGGGCAGCCGGGTGTCCAGCCAGCGTCCATCACGTTCCCATAGCGACGAGGAGGAGGACGAGGGAGTGCCGGCCAGCTACCACACGGTGTCATTACAGGTTAGTCAGGACGTAAGTACCACAGCAGTCTCTACCTTTCTACCTCTCCTGATGGAGGCCCAGCTTCTTGTTTCAGGGAGGGGGGGATTTAGCTTCATTAAGCAGATCCAACAATGATTGATTCAAAGCAGCTCTCTGCTCAGTGGCTTGGTAAACAGAGCTTTAGGTGAATATGGTCGTAGCATCAAGAGGTTTTTGGGAAATCAAAAAGCTTTGGCTCACAAATGGACCTCTACGGCAGGTGTACATGTCTATAAGGAAAGAATTGAAAATGTTGCATATTTAATCTTTCATTAGAGCTGTCAAAATAGCTTATACAATGTCATATACCATGTCATTATTTGAACAGAGCAATGCACCTGCCTGACAGTATCCCTGTCGTTTCTGGTGTAGTGTTGGGTTGTGTGTGCATGTAAGGCTGAACGATAATACCAGTCAAGAGTATTGTTATCATGTTGCCATTATAATTATTATCAGACAGTTAATAGATATAAGGGAATTCTGAATAAATTATAATTCTGAAAACAGTTTAGAACTGATACGTAACTCTGTATATCTTTACTTTGATACATGCAGTCTTTAATTGATTAGTAGCTAATACATAAAAGGAGTAAAAGGTGTAAGTGATTGTAAGAAAACACATACAATATGTTCAATGACCCAGATGTTTGAAGGGCTTCATAAATCATTTGTGACTGACCCCATGTATGTTTGTTGTAGTAAATGACTCCATATACAGTACACCTAGTCTTCATGTGTCTCTATACATTTAGACCTAAACTGTAGATCTCTAAAGCCAAACTTGGAGTTATTGTAAACATTGGTGTGTGTGTGTATGTTTGGTTCAGCTGCTGGATCTGATGCACACACTGCACACCCGGGCTGCCAGCATCTACAGCTCCTGGGCGGAGGAGCAGCGCCACCTGGAGGCGGCCGGCCGGAGGATCGAGGCGGACTCTCAGACTCTGTGGAGCAGCTGCTGGTGCCCACTGCTGCAAGGTATGCTAACAGGCTACACGCTAACACAAGCTACAAGCTAACACAGGCTACACGCTAACACCATGGATGTATAATAAGAACTGGATACAGCGTGGGAGGCGGGGTCTCGTTCTTTCCTATGAGAGCTGCTCATTGGCGCATGAGGACAAAATGGCCCAACTTTTGAGAGAGCGAAACGTCACAGATTACCCATCATGGCTGGCTGTCAGAGCAGAAGTACCCGTATGTGTGCTCATAGAGCATGCGCAGTTGAGTTGCCCCTTAAGCCCCGCCCCCGAGCTCCCACTCTCAGATCCGCGTTCATAATGTCGAGGAAAATAACTCTCAGAAGAAGAAGAAGAAGATACACTTTATTAATCCCTTACAGGGAAATGTCTTTCCCCACTCTGTTGTGTTTACACACATTACACACACAGGGAGGATATACATGCACACACACAGAGGATATACATGCACACACACAGAGGATATACATGCACACACACACAACCACATGCAGATAGGAGAGGTGGCAGAGCAGAGAGGCTGCCAGGTACCCGGCGCCAAGGGAGCAGTTTCGAGGTTAGGTGCCTTGCTCAAGGGCACCTCGGCAGTGGCCTTGGAGGTGAACTGGCACCTCTCCAGCTACCAGCTCACTCCAACTTTTTTTGGTCCGATCGGGACGTGAACCGGCGACCCTTCGCTTCCAAGACCAAGTCCCTACAGACTAAGCCACTGCCGCCCCAGAATAACGTTATTAGTACATTTTACAACTTGAGGACCGAATGTTTTTAATAAGGTCTATACAAATGTTTATACTGGGTAGTTTATTTAGTTAGTAAAGTATCCAACAATTTACAGACCACTCTTTCCCAATGTAAGTCAATGGGGAAAAAGTGTTTCCGGGCCCAGCGACTGATACGGAAGTGTAGTACCGCCGTTTGGCCACAACGAATATTTTCCTCAGAGTCCGGCGCACTTCCTGGGGGCTTGGCTAACACAGGCTACAAGCTAACTGCTTTGGAGCAGGTACAAATACCTCACTGGAGCTGTTAGTGCTCATTTATTTCAGACTAACAAATATTGCCAGTCTTACAAGGTTTACTGTTTAAGCGTATTTCCTGTTGGGTTGCAGTGATATACTGGTTTCAGGGTAAAACAATAGTTTAACTAATTGAAGATTAGCAAACCATGCCCATTTGATTATGTGTTAGATGTACACTGATTGTATATAATTAATAATAAATAAAGGTTAAAAATTAGGTGTGAAAAGGCCAAGATTAGATATGAGACAGTTATGAGTATAAAAAACAATATAATAATTAATTTGGCTGATATTTATTTCTTAGCGTTAAGACAACATATTCAACAAGTTTTAAAGTAGGTTATTCAAATAGTTTTTGAAGAAGTGTGACTTATATATCTACTATGAAAGAAAATGAATAATAAAAATGTAACTTCTCCGTTCCCTGTGATTGGTACGCTATGTAGTTACTTCTTACTTAACTTAAGCGCATGATTACCTTTATGAAACCTCAGGGGGGGGTCATGTTGATTATTAACTCAAACATGTGTCCTCACGTATATTACAATGGTAATGTTTGATTGATGGTGCCTGTAACTTCCCCCAGCATCTATACATGTGTGCAATATGTTAGGAGTGTGCATATCCATGCCTCTGATTTGGAGAAGACAAATGCTTACTGTTTAGTTTAGTTTCAGCATCTTTACCCCTGTTTCACTCTGATGTATCCCATGTTGAGCAGTGTTCAGGTCAGTTTCAGGCTGCCCTGACTCCTGTCTTATTGTCCTGTGTTCACGCTGCAGGCATTGCGTGGCTGTGCTGTGATGCCAGGCGTCAGGTGCGTATGCAGGCCCTCACCTACCTGCAGAGGGCGCTGCTGGTGCATGACCTGCAGACTCTGGACGCCACAGAGTGGGAGTCCTGCTTCAATAAGGTGAGAGGAGGGGGGGTGCATCTGCTCTTATATCACACAGAGAGTCAGTGGATTAAATGTGTAAAACATATTATAAACCAAATCATTGGCCTGTCCTCACACTGTGTGTGTGTGTGTGTGTAGGTGCTTTTCCCCCTGCTGACTAAGCTGCTCGACAACATCAGCCCAGCAGATGTTGGGGGGATGGAGGAGACCAGGATGAGAGCATGCACCCTCCTGTCAAAGGTTCATAGCACACCCTGCAACACACACTGCAACGCACCCTGCAACACACACTGCAACACACCCTGCAACACACACTGCAACACACCCTGCAACACACACTGCAACACACACTGCAACACACCCTGCAACACACACTGCATCACACACTGCAACACACACTGCAACACACACTGCAACGCACACTGCAACACACCCTGCAACACACCCTGCAACACACACTGCAACGCACACTGCAACACACCCTGCAACGCACCCTGCATCACACACTGCAACACACCCTGCAACACACACTGCAACACACACTGCAACACACACTGCAACACACACTGCAACACACACTGCAACACACACTGCATCACACACTGCAACACACACTGCAACACACCCTGCAACACACACTGCAACACACACTGCAACACACCCTGCAACACACACTGCATCACACACTGCAACACACACTGCAACGCACACTGCAACGCACACTGCAACACACCCTGCAACACACCCTGCAACACACCCTGCAACACACACTGCAACACACCCTGCAACACACACTGCAACACACCCTGCAACACACACTGCAACACACACTGCAACACACCCTGCAACACACACTGCAACACACCCTGCAACACACACTGCAACACACCCTGCAACGCACACTGCAACACACACTGCAACGCACCCTGCAACACACACTGCATCGCACACTGCAACGCACACTGCAACACACACTGCAACGCACACTGCAACACACACTGCAACACACCCTGCAACACACACTGCAACACACCCTGCAACACACACTGCAACACACCCTGCAACACACCCTGCAACACACCCTGCAACACACACTGCAACACACCCTGCAACACACACTGCAACACACCCTGCAACACACACTGCAACACACCCTGCAACACACACTGCAACACACCCTGCAACACACCCTGCAACACACCCTGCAACACACACTGCAACACACACTGCAACACACCCTGCAACACACCCTGCAACACACCCTGCAACACACACTGCAACACACACTGCAACACACACTGCAACACACACTGCAACACACACTGCAACACACACTGCAACACACACTGCAACGCACACTGCAACGCACCCTGCAACGTACCCTGCAACGCACCCTGCAACGCACCCTGCAACGCACCCTGCATCACACCCTGCAACACACCCTGCAACACACACTGCAGCACACACTGCAACACACACTGCAACACACACTGCATCACACACTGCAACACACCCTGCAACACACACTGCAACACACCCTGCATCACACCCTGCAACACACACTGCAACACACCCTGCAACACACACTGCATCACACCCTGCAACACACACTGCAACACACACTGCATCACACCCTGCAACACACACTGCAACACACCCTGCATCACACCCTGCAACACACCCTGCAACACACACTGCAACACACCCTGCAACACACCCTGCATCACACCCTGCAACACACCCTGCAACACACACTGCAACACACCCTGCAACACACCCTGCAACACACCCTGCAACACACACTGCAACACACACTGCATCACACACTGCAACACACCCTGCAACATACCCTGCAACACACACTGCAACACACACTGCAACGCACCCTGCATCGCACCCTGCATCGCACCCTGCAACGCACCCTGCAACGCACCCTGCATCACACACTGCAACGCACACTGCAACGCACCCTGCATCACACCCTGCAACACACACTGCAACACACACTGCAACACACACTGCATCACACCCTGCAACACACACTGCAACACACACTGCAACACACACTGCAACACACACTGCAACACACCCTGCAACGCACCCTGCATCACACACTGCAACACACACTGCAACACACACTGCAACACACACTGCAACACACCCTGCATCACACACTGCATCACACACTGCAACACACACTGCAACACACACTGCATCACACACTGCAACACACACTGCATCACACCCTGCATCACACACTGCATCACACACTGCAACACACACTGCAACACACACTGCATCACACACTGCATCACACCCTGCATCACACACTGCATCACACACTGCAACACACCCTGCAACACACACTGCAACACACACTGCATCACACACTGCATCACACACTGCATCGCACCCTGCATCACACACTGCATCACACACTGCATCACACACTGCATCACACACTGCATCACACCCTGCATCACACACTGCATCACACACTGCAACACACCCTGCAACACACACTGCAACACACACTGCATCACACCCTGCATCACACACTGCATCACACACTGCAACACACACTGCAACACACACTGCAACACACACTGCATCAACCAAAACATGTTTTCACATGAGCAGAGGCCTTTCTTCGATGAAGACTGCTTTGTAAAAAGATGCTTAATTGATAGTGCTGTTGCAACATGTAAGCGTTTCCTTTAGAGAATGAGAATATAGATTTAAAGGAGAAGAGTGAGCAAGAGGAAGATCATTGAATAAGCAGTATTACCCGTCATCAGTCCCCAGCTGTTGGGCACCAGTTATCGTGTTCAGAAACAGCAAGTGCAGATGTACCATAGCAATCTATACTTTCATTTGAATTCAACATGGATCTTAATTACGGGGGGGGCAGTAGTAAGTAGCCTTACAGTGGAGCACATGGGGCGACACAAACATAACCATCACTGTTCAACCCAGTCTGCTAAATCAATAAGTTTAGAGGTCAAATACATTCAAAATCTACTCAACAGTTACAATAGGCAGTTTGGACAACTATGAATGTAACACTACGAGTGATTGTATTCACTAATCTAATAATACACCCCCAACTGGACATGCTCTAACCCTGCCCTTGCACTGGATGCTGTCTCTGCTGCAATGTGTCCCATGGATTTGATTCAAATACTGTATTAAGTGAAATCCATCACAGCTTAAATCCTGCCATTGAAGGAAGAAAAAAACCTTTATCGTCCAACACAAAAACATTTACTTTGACCTCCCTGTTGTGTTTTGGTGTGGGCTGTGTCTCCTCTGAACCCTGTTACCGTGGTTACTGCAGCAGCTGCTCACCTGTGCTCCTCTCTGTCCAGGTGTTCCTGCAGCACCTCTCTCCTCTGCTCTCTCTGCCCACCTTTGCCGCCCTCTGGCTCACCATCCTGGACTTCATGGACAAATACATGCACGCAGGATCCAGTGACTTACTAGTGAGGACATTTATAATACTAACAGTGTTGTAGTGAGATTATCAAACAGATGATCTGATGCCTTTTCACACCTCAGTGGCTCTTTCTTCTCCACCTCTGACGTGATGCTATTTAAAGGCTACCTGGATGCATTCTGCAGGATCTGAATCAGGGCTGATCCTATGAAGATGTACCAGAAATCAAATATGAAATGTATATTGGTTTCATTAGCATGTGTTGCTAATAAATGTCTTCTGTATATGTAAATATTGCAGCAGTTCATGGGACTACACAATAACTTCTAGTTTGTCATTTATTTTTTGTTCTGGCACACAATGTCCTCTTACTCCTGTGTTCTGTGTTTTGATGATGTATCATGTCTGAACATGAACACAGAGACTGAATAAGGTTCAAATCCTCCAGTGGTTGTTTTCAGTGGCCTGTCAATTAGAAAATGATCTCAAGACATGAAAGTAATCCTTCAGTAATCTGAAGTGTGTGTGTGTGTGTGTGTGTGTGTGTGTGTGTGTGTGTGTGTGTGTGTGTGTGTGTGTGTGTGTGTGTGTGTGTGTGTGTGTGTGTGTGTGGTGTGTGTGTGTGTGGTGTGTGTGTGTGTGTGTGTTGTGTGTGTGTGTGTGTGTGGTGTGTGTGTGTGTGTGTGTGTGGTGTGTGTGTGTGTGTGTGTGCTGTGTGTGTGTGTGGTGTGTTGTGTGTGTGTGTGTGTGTGTGTGTGTGTGTGTGTGTGTGTGTGTGTGTGTGTGTGTGTGTGTGTGTGTGTGTGTGTGTGTGTGTAGTTGGAGGCTATCCCTGAGTCTCTGAAGAACATGCTGCTGGTGATGGACACAGCGGGGATCTTCCACAGCGCTGACTCCCGGACCGGATACTCTGACCTGTGGGAGATCACCTGGGAGCGCATCGACTGCTTCCTGCCTCTCCTGAGGGAGGAGCTTTTCAAACAGACCGTCATAGCAGGTACAACACTTCACTCCCTTCAGACTGTAGAGAAACACGCATATATGGAGTATTAAAACATGGGAGTTGTTGTGGTAGCAGCTTTGACTCTGGTGTATCTGTTCGATGGTTCCAGATCCAGGACCCAGTCCTCCAGCAGAGTCTGTGCAGCCCACACCCTCAGCAGGTCAGCCTTCCTCCCCCCGGGTTTCTCAGCCGCCCTCCCCAGTGCCCGTGTCCCCTGCAGAGACCAGGACCCCCAGCAGGCCAGCGTCTCCCCTTGAACCCCCAGCAGCCAGTGCCAACGGTAAAATCTTAAGATACACTCTTTGGGACTGTCTGTAGTGACCAACACATCCCTGCTAAAGTCAGTATTCCTGCTATCTGAAGTGTGTACCATTCACATGGCCGACAGAAATGCAGCACAAAACAGCTCTCTCCTTCTATTCACTGAATCAGCAATACAACTAGCAATGCACCCGGCTTTCAAAGAGGATGAGGCTCTGATGAGGCTCTGATGAGGCTCTGATGAGGCTCTGATGAGGCTCTGATGAGGCTCTGATGAGGCTCTGATGAGGCTCTGATGAGGCTCTGATGAGGTTGAACACACCTTTCATTCATCAAGAAAACCCTCTTTGCTTCTTGGGCCTTACGTTGTACCCAGATGATGTGCCTACACACTGGCCCTACAACCAGCACCAGTAGAGCATACGCCCTTAATGCACTAGTCGTGTCATAAACATTAAACGGTTAAGTTAATGTTCTTTATTTTTCTCATATATTTGTAGTTCAAAAATGGATGTCTTTAGTCCAGGTCCTGCAGGTGCAATGGTGCGCACCATGCGGTGTACCATGCTGTGCTCTCAGTCTGAACAGGATGGGTTGAGCTGGATACATGGATTTGACATGTGTTCTCTTTGGCATCAGTAGTTCCTTGGTGTTCATGAGCAGTACGAGCACAGCAGTGTCACCATCCTGCCCCCACTGTCTGTTTCAGGAGAACAAGCTCAGCATATTGGCAAGAATGGAAACACAGAAAAAAACAAACACTGCAAAAAAATATGACCTCTATAAGTCAAAGAAATATGATGAATAACTTAAAAAAGGGAATAGGAGAGGAATACTTTTACTGTTTTCTTTCACTTAGATCTACATATCTCCATCAGTTGAGTTCATGTGACTCTCGATGTGATGTCACCTGTGTGTCTTTGTGAAGCTCAGCTGTGTGACCCCCCCCCTCTTCTCTGTTTCAGGGTCGGACCGCTCCTCTCCCCCCCCAGCCTCCACCCCCCCCCATGCCGGTGCCGTTAACAACCTCCCCCCCCCAGGCTTCCTCCCCCCGGAGCCAGCCCCCCTTCATCCTGCAGCCCCTCGCCTCCCCTCTGCAGGTGGGAGTCCCGCCCATGTCCCTGCCAATCATCCTGAACCCCGCCCTCATCGAGGCATCGTCCCCCGTCCCCCTGCTCCCACCGCCCAGACCTGATGAAGTCAAGTAAGAACTGAAGCCCATCTTCAGACCCCCCCCCTCTCTAACAACAGGATCCAACACTCAACAGCTTCAAGAGCCCCCCCCCCCAGGTTTATTTACAGGAGGCGATATGTCCGAACTGACAGACGAGACACATTTCATTTAAAAGAGGAATCCTCCTAGATAACTGACATTGTTCTAAACCCATCCCTGTGAACATGTCATGGTCTGTGTGTGTAGGGTTCTCTCTCTCGTCAGGGAGGAGCATGCAGACCCAAAGTGAGACCAGGGGATACTAGAGGTATTTGGGGGAGAATTTAGATTTTTAATTGGCTGATTTCCCAACTAATCGCATTACATTTATATAACAATTATACAGTCAAATACACATTTCCACGATGTATTTCCACACCACAGTAATTTTATAGAAATCTAAATATCTGAAAATCGTATTAAGCCCCGGAGCTCATGTGACTCTCGATGTGATGTCTCTCCATACTCTGACTTCCTGTTTCATACTGAACACTTCATCTTTAACAACACCTCACAAAGAAAGTGCAGTGTGTGTGTGTTCATGATAATGAAGAAACATGGCAGTGCATCAGTGTGGCTACACACACACACACACACACACACACACACACACACACACACACACACACACACACACACACACACACACACACACCAAGCCTTCAGTAGAACAGTGTTGTTAGGAGCCCTCCATCCGCTGCGTATGAACATGTGCTATCAGAGGTAGGAATGATAAGGCTGGGTTAGTTTACAGACGTCACTCCCATGTTTTCTCACTGTTGGAAATCATTTTGACATTTCCATTTGAAGGATAACCCCCCCCCCCACCCCCCAACCAGGATGACCTTATGGCTTCGTATTAATGTTTCAGAGGAGTAAGTTAAAGGGGCTGCATGTTGTTGATTAAACTGGATCTCCCGGGCTTTGACTTCAGTCAGCTGTTCCACAGAATGATTTATACAGCAGTCACTTTTAGTTTCAGAGGCCAGCTCTCCTGTTCTGTTGATTTCTTTTGAACTCTGCATGAGCTCTTTCTGAACGACTAAAACAAGCTTTGAATTTGGGCATCTTCTTCCTCTGAACAAAGAGGGACAGCATTCTCTGACAGATCTCCAACATTCCACATGGAGACTGTTGATTGGTCCTCTGTACGGAGAGGTCGATCCAGCTAGTGACTTTAGAGTTGAATGAATACGTTGTCATGTTTGTAGCTCGCTGCTTCACACATGACTCTGAGCTCTGTAACACTCATCATATCACACGCCAATCTGTGGAAACCTCTCAACACCTCTTTGTTCAATGGTAGCATAACTGAATACTTACTATGGTATGTAGAGAAATATTTTGATTCAAAAAGCATCCAGCTCCATGCACGCAGTTTTCATGTTTCAGCAGGTTATTTCAAATGGTTTAATTTCAACATCATTATTTCAATTGAACATCTGTATTCATCTCAGTGGGACCATTAACAGGTTTACACTGCAGAGCACACGCATATCGAAGAAAGAGCCAATATAACACATTTAAATAACCAACATAAATATTTCTACAACACTGCGATTTCAGTTTTTAACTCCAAACTTAAACTATTCTTACATCCACTGTAATAACAGCTGGTAACTATGGTAACACATGCATGTAGGCATACATCATAATGCAAAAATAATCTACACCTGAGAAGTGTGTTCTGTTATTTTAGCAGTTCTATAACAGAGTAAAACAGGCCTAACGATATGGTCTGCACAGCCCCCCCCCCCTCTCGTGTGGACGTGTTTGTTGCTATTATTCACTTCTGACATCCAATGACGGGGATTCTTTGACCCGGCTTGAATCTTGCTACATTTGAGCAACATAAAACAAATGTAGTTTTTGACAGGGCACTGCTTTGAGTTCCCTAAACGTGAGGTTACACCAGGTGTTCACATAGTTTTGAAAGTAAATGATTGTAGCTCTTTAAATCCTTGTGTTCAGTTGTGGTTCCGTTCAGTGAGGTGTTGAGCTGCTGGCAGTGCCTTGTGTTCGCTGACATGGAGCCTGCCCGGGAGGGGAACTATTCTCCATTGAAATGCCAAATATGTGACCTAGAGCAGGATGTGGTGGCTGACATGCTCTCAGTGATGATGATGATGATGATGATGATGATGATGATGATGTTATTTATTTAGTGAGAGAAGAAGTCCCCTGCAGTAGCGTGAGTCCTGTAACACTACAGTCTATAGACAGTGTGTCAGCTGTGTGTTCATCTGTTGTAGGGACTCTGATCAGGAGTCTTGCTTGAACAGGAAATGACATAAACATAATGTGTATATATAAATGAAAGGTAATGTACTTTTTACTATGTAATAAATATAATGTAAAGAAAGTGCTCATTCTGGTGTTGGTGTTTTCTTTCAAACTGAGAAGTGAAGCCAATGCAGAGCTGCAGGTCCTGGGTGTTCTCTGAGGCTCTCAGGCTGCCGTCTGCTGCTAAGATAGAGCTTTTCATGTTGATTGATGCCGTGTGCTTGTGATCAATGTGGTTTGATTGCTCCATTTTATTTAGACTTCTATCTTATCTTGTTTTTTTTACCAATGTAAAGCGTTTTAATATATGAAATGTATTATTATTTTTAAATTGTAGGGGGTTTAATTTGTATAAAACTCATCCGTTTAAATGTTGACAGGTCAGCTGCCTTAAAATGAAAAACCACATTAGAACTTATCCCAAAGAAATGGCAGACTGTGTAAAATCATTTTACAAAAATAAAGAATCTATATAAACTGTTGTGTCTCGTCAAATGTGTTAGTTATGTTGATGTATTTTGTCTGTCATTTCTTGTTTTATTTTGTACTTACCTCTTGTCTTTCATTTCAGGCCCTGTTTCTTCCTCCCCTTGTGTGTTTTTCCCGCCATCATCAGTGTCTGCCCCCCCCCCCCGATCGCCACCTGTTCCCACTCACCTCATGTTTAAATAGTCCTGTCTCTCCCCTGTCCTGTGTCAGTTTTGGTTGTTTCTCCGAATGGTCGTGCCAAGCCTCAGCTCAGACCCCCAACCTGGGGGGGGCGGAGCGCTATTGCAGGGTGGGCGCGTGAAGCTTGGGAATAAGTTGTAAACAAACATTGTTTGCTCGTAAAATCAATAGAATTGACACATTTTTAACACAACCGGCAGTTAAAAGAAAAGTGGCCTTTCAGCTATAATGCCCACATCAACAAAGTATGTATGATGAGGCATATATCTCCCTTGACATCGAACGTGTTCGGTGCGGAGATCCCTCTTTCTCTTTCTCTCTCTCTCTCGTCTGTGTTGGGGGCGGGGCATCTCGCTCAGACTCGCTGCAACACCGTGCACACAGAGATCTGCCGGTGGAGAACATAGCGTTCAAAAGTTACAATCTAATCTACAGAGCTCGATGTGGTCAATGCTCATTTGCCATAAGTATTTTCGCGGAATGTGACGACCCCTGCTTTGCTATCTCCTGTTGTGTGTGTGGCCCTTTAATGTTCTCCCTTTGTCTGTCAGCATTGATTGAGGACACCTGGCTGTAGTTCAAACTGCATCCACCAAACAATATGATTTATCTCGACCTCCCCAAAATCTGACACGGTGTGAGATGTCTTTTTTAGCTGTGCTGTCGTCATTTCCTGCGATCCTCTTCATGCAGTCAGTCAGAATGAATGAATGAATGGGTGTTTCTTTGACCATTTATAGGCAAATATGGGCGTTACGTGAAGCCCGCAAAAGCTGCGCCGCATTTCGTGTCGATTGTGATTTATAAAGGGAAACAGGCGTAGGAAGTGCCGTACGCACTTCCCTCGCCGGTACGCAATGTTTTGTGAATCGGAAAATGTCTGTGGCCGTTAATCAATCGCGAGGATGCTGGCTTGGTAGCACAGCCGAGCCGAGCATCTTGCTTCAGAAGCAAGGCAAGAATGCTTCCTGCTATTCGGAAAACGAAGAGTGGAACAGGCTAGCAAGTGTGCAGGTGTGCGTCATACGAGAGGCCCGCCTTACATCTTCCGCCACAGATTTGGGGAAATTGGTCCATGCGCAAAGCATTGTGGGGATTTTAAGGACGCGAAGTCTACCCATGTGCAGCCTCGAAATTTCCCCCAAACCAAGGACGCGGCCTCGGTGGAATTCCAAGTATGCTGGAGATTGGAACAGTCCTTCGGCGGCACTCGATGACGTAGCATCCTTGAAATATTGGCTTGGAAGCCAATATCCTCGCGATTGAGAAACGGCCACTACCTATTTTTTTGCTTTGTACTACGTAAGCAACCTTCCCACGTGAATCCTACGCAAGGCGTTATAAATGAGGCCCCTGAGCCAGACTCTCGATGACTCTCCGCAGAGGACCTGTTTTGGGAGAGCAGCCTTTTCGTTTATGCTTTTGCCTTGCCTTTATGTTAGTTTTGTTTAACGTTGGGTTGTGGTTAATACATATCTTTTCATATATCTTGTCCTTTCCACGCTTTTGTTATGGCCAAGAGCCAGGTCATGACAGGAAACACGAGCAATCTGTCCATCAGCTGGCCAAAAGGCATCATTCATACGGAGAAATGCACCGTTTTCAACTTCCTTAACTCGGAGTTCTGTTACTCCAATTACGTGTAAGGTGGGAGAAGTACTCCGATCAAGTACTTAAGTAAAAGTAGTATACTGCAGGGTAGCTTGTGAATTTACTCCAGGTGTAACTAAAGTCTGATTTAAGAGTTCATTATATTTCACATCATTCATCCAGATCTGTGAAGTAACTAAAGGTATTAAATGCGTGTAGTGGAGTAGAAGTACACCATTTACCTCTGGACTGTAGAGGAGCAGAATTACAAAGCAAAAGTGGAAATACTTAAGTACCTCAAAATAAGTACAGTACTTGAGTAAATGTACTTACTACCACCACTGCAGGTATTTTATGTCTGCTAGTAGCCCATCACCCACACTATACATAAAATGAATCAATGTGAATTCTGTTTAGTTTTTCCCCTAAAAAAATAACCTATAAAAATACTGTTAAAGAACCGGATCGCTAAGCAGTATTTGTAATTGTTTCAATTAGGCCTCATTATTTCACAGTGGCACAGGATCATCTGCCAATACAAGCACTTTTGTTCATGTTCAATCCATAATAAAATATAAAATTATAGTTGGATCTTTTTGTCTTGTTATTATTAGCAGAAAAAATGTATTGTTTGTACAACTATATACAATAAATTCTACCAATCTCGGTGAGAACCGGATTAGGGGGGGCTCGAAAATATTTCCAATTACACAAGGTATTAGCCTGACAGAGCCTGACAGAAAAAGGTTAGGAACCACTGCGCTAGTGGATTATCAACGGGGGGAGCCTCGCTGCGGGGAAATTCTACAGATGGTCAGTCCGCCCCTGAAAAATGTCTAAGCACACGTTGATAATAATTATAAAAAAAGTATTATTATTATTATTATTTTTTTTAAATCATCTCGCGACCCCCACTTTGGGATAGGGGACCTTTAAGACCGGGGGGAAAATTACAAGAATTCTCAATCCGAATTTGTGGATTCTAGCCAGATTTTTTGTAAACCTCCAAAATGCAGAAAGAAGAAACAGGAGCAAGAGACCAAAAATAGAGAGTAGGCAATTTATTGAAAACTGCATTTAAACTCAAACAGGCTGTTCATCAGCTGATCAAAAGTTTAAGACCATAGCCTTAAAAAGTCCAAATCTGCTCAACAATCGGCCTTTCATGTCATTTGCATTCAGGCCTTCACACGGTCATGACCTCCTGATGGCACAGAGAGAAAGTCTCTCTGTGTTTGAACGTGGCCGGACTGTTGAGCTGCAGAAGGCCTCGCACCGTCGCTGCCGAGGCTCAGACGCTCAGTTTACATTTCTTAAAAGATATTGAGGGTTACGGGACAAAAAAGTCAAATGGTAGACCCACTACCACTACAATGTCACCTGCGCTGGGACGGGACGGGGTGTGCCAATGAAGGAAGAAGCACCCCAGATCATGACGGAGCCTCCTCCACTGTGCCGCGTAGAAAAATATGTATTGCCAAGAAGCATTGTTTAAACAAGGAAATAATCTACCAAACGCAGATTTCGTTACTTTTTGTGTTAAGTTTATGTATATATGTAGATATGTATATAATATGAGTTTAATACGATCATTTTTAAACAGAACACTGACTGTAGCTCCTCTCTGAATCCTATTGAACTATCGAGCTGGATTTAGTGTTTAAATATTCTGTGAACTATTAAAGGAGAGGTGTCATGGCCATTTCCACTGATCATAATTCCATTGTTGAGGTCTACTAGAATAGATTTATACTGTGCAATTTTCCAAACTCACATTGGTTTCTCATACAGCATCTCTGTAAACTACGTGTATTCACTGAATTTCACTCTCTGCCTTTAACGGCTCGTTGTAGCTCCCATAGCTCCAGCCCCCACCCTCCCTGTGAGCACAGTGTGCTCTGATTGGTCGGGACGTTGTGAATCGCGCTGAGCTCCGTGGAGGTGTTGTTTCCTTGTTTAGGATACATAGCGAAACACAGCCAAACTCATCCTGAGCACACACAAAGTCACAGCCGAAGTAAAAACAATAAGTGTGGCTTGATATTGAGTAAGAAAAAGGTTGATAAACGCTGTGAGAATGGGTCTGCAGAGAGAATTTCGCCGCGATCCCAACTGTCTGTTATCAGCCTGCAGCCAGGGAGGAGAAATCAGCTGAGCTGCCTGCTCCCTGCACACAGATGTGTGTGTGAGGAAGTCCGTGGATTGGTCAATTTGGACCAATCAGCTGGGGCTTAATGTAACGGCTCCGCGGACGTAACGGCTCCACGGATTGGTCCATTTCGTTCCGGGTACGGGTTGACATCATGCCGTCCCGGAAGAATCAAATGGACAATGACGTATCTCCAACGAGGCGTTTTGGGGAGGTATTTTCTGTGTTAGAGTTTTACTCGCTACAGGGTGTACTTTGAGGGTTTTTGACTCTGCAGACCGTTTACATGCAGAAAAACCTTCATAACACACAAGGGGACGGGTAATAACCGGGAAAGCATGACACCTCTCCTTTAAGCAATCCACACCTCTCAGATATAGATTTAAAGATAGAGATATATTGATATATCTCTCTGTCCTGTCAACCCTTACCATTTGCAGATTGATTTTCTAGCGGCTTCTTTTAGGCAAAGGATATTTTGTGCATAATGGCTTCCAGCATTTAATTGTATAATTACAAACGTTATATTAAACAAATGAATGGTATTCACTTGACTTGAGTGTAAATGTTCTTACTGTATTGTAAGACTTCAGATATACTTACGTTATCATGTGAAACATTTTGAATATGAGGCGATAGAGACAAAGTGTGAGCGAATTGGTGTAAAACATCTGAGTTTTATTTCAAAGCAGAATGAGAACCACAGTTTTTTTAGTAAACTAACTGTATCAGAAACTACAGAGGCCAGGAAAACTGTTATATTTGTACATAGAAAGTAAAAACATTAGTAAACAAGGAACCATCATGGAAAACTGTACGGACTTATGATCTAATCTATAAAGAAAGTGATCTGTTGAAGGGACACTGGAACGAAAGGGAACAGCACTCCACTCACACTTATGTTTTTTTTCCTCTTTAACCAAGACAGACCCCACATCAAACTCCGTCTGTCCTCTCTAAACCTGCAACAAACAACAGTTAGAAAACAAACCACAACCAGCGTCCTCACTTGGCGTCCAGCTTGGCCATTTCCTGAAGATATATTCCGATGCTCTCGCTGTCAAACAGAACAAAGTAAATGTTTTTCAGAGAGGAGCTGGTGGACGACACAAAATGGTTGGAGATGGCCTTGAGGATGAGCTGGGCGGCCGTTTGTTTTGGGAATCCGTTCCTGTGAGACACAGACAGGGTGTGAAGACACAAGTATATCAAGTCAAGAAAGAATATTCTATAGTAGTTATCCTGTGAAGTGACATTGAGCAGATTACTTTTCTTACTTTAAGTACATTTACCTGATAATACTTCTCTACTTCTACTCAAGTAACATTTTCATTTCGACTTGTAATTAGGTATATATAGCATAGTATTTCTACTTTTACTTAAGTAAAGAGTTTGAGTACTTCTTCTGCCTCTGGTAATACTCCAACTTCAGGAAAGTTGTGTCAGGTGTTACACACGGACCGTAAACACTGGACAGATGAGCTTCGACCAGTGAGAGCCTGCATGTTTCTGATTGGCCAGCACAACGCCTTCACCGATGACATCATTTTTTTTGGTGGCAAAATCTCAGCCTTTGTTTATCCTTGTTGCCGGGTGATGCTACATAAGCCCCTGCTGAGCCCTAGCTGACAGTAAGTGATGAAAATCAGGTCAGAGGTCAGTTCTGCTGCCGGTATGAAACCCTCAGTGATAGTGTGTAACCTGCTGCCTTCATCCGTCACTCTCTCACTCTGTCTTCAGGTTATCACTAGGTGTAGGGATGTAACCATTTTAAGTTCACGATACGAGTTTTTTTTTTTTTTAAACAGAATGACAAATGACTGAAAAATATTTCTGTATTTATATAAACTGTACAAAACAACGTACATGTTCTCATCAAAATTGCAACTGTAAACTTTAAATTGTGCAACTGTATTTTATCTTAAATAACAAAAAGATACATAATTGGATTTTGAAAACAAATCCCACATCAAAATGACTCCATCAAAAGAAAAAATCCCTTAAAAAAAAGAAAGAAAAAAGTGCAGCTTGAAATGTATGCTCTGCTCGATCATGTGCTTTAACGGCACAATGAGTGACACGGTTGGATTTTTTCCGTCACTCAGCATGGTGGTGGCTGTTTTGAGTGGTTTGAGAAGTTTCACAATGTCCTCGGCAGGGGTGTAGTGCTATTTTTACAAGTACCGGAGCCTGGTCAGTGTTACATGTTGCCCCCTAACCCTAACCCCCAGAACCGTCCCTGCTGTCGCTCGCTCGCGCACACACACAGAGCCGAGCTTGAAGGAAACACAGAGACCCATACGTACTTGTACTGACACTGTACTGTATCATATTATTTTCAATGGTTTTATTGTATGATCAGTATGACAGATCGCCACTGGGCTTTCAACTAAAGACACAGCCACGCAAAAACTGTGGCATGTGTACAGCTCCTTATGGGTACACCCCTGGTCCCCGGCATCACGGATGTCCGAGTTATCCAGCGTGGCGATTTCACAGGCATTTCGTCGGACGTCTGCACTGAGGAGAGCAGCTGCCACGGCAAGTTGTTGTTCTAGATAGCGTTCAATCATGTCCAGCGAATCAAATCAAATCAAAATTAGTTCACGCCCTGTGCTGTTTAAAAAATTGCATCGCGATTCATTTTTTAGCTCAACCGATTTTAATCTTAACGCATCTGTACCGATTTTTAACCGGTTCACGATGCATCGTTACATCCCTACTAAGGTGTTACAGAAAGAGAAAAATGGTGTGTGGGCTGCTGCAGAACAGTGGAAGGTCAAAGGTCATTCTGTGGTACGGCCTCCACAGCAGTTTCTGATGTGGAGTTGGGACTCTCTTCCTGTTTGCTCATGTGCTGGACATTTATTTGTTATGTTTGACATTGAGCTGCTGTCTTCTTTACATCATCAGACTGCAGGGTGGCCATGTTGAGTGTTACTATAGTTACCTGCTGAGTGAAGTGCACAGACTGCGGATCAGCCAATCATTTCTAAGTCTCAGTGAGAGGATCTGAGCTGTGTGTTGGTGAGTGTGAGGGTGCTCACCGTCCAGCAGGAAGTGAGGGGAAGGCCACAGACTTGAGCTTCTTGTCCTCGGCCGCAGACAGACAGTTCTTCACCGTCTTCTCCAGCTGGTCCTCACACTTGTCGGAGCCCCACTGAGGGACGTTACAGTGGATGATGAAGCGGGCTGCCATCCCAGTGGCCTGGCCCACTGCCACTGCACCGTGGAAACACACACACACACACACACACACACACACACACACACACACACACACACACACACACACACACACACACACACACACACACACACACACACACACACACACACACACACACACACACACACACACACACACACACACACACCACACACACACACACACACACACACACACACACACACACACACACACACACACACACACACCACACACACACCACACACACACACACACACACACACACACACACACACACACACAACCACCCACACACACACACACACACACACACACACACACACACACACACACACACACACACACACACACTCTTTAATTCATAGCCCTCTTGTAATGTATAAATACTCTGGTGTCACAGTTGTCGTAAATGTTTGTCTGATCTTTTCCCTCTCGCTGAGTGACAGGGAGCTGATAAGACGCTGCAGGAAAGGAAGGTCGTGTTACGATGACACAAACTGTTTGATCATTTTTGTGTTTGTTAGTTTAAAATGATGTTACCCTTGCCTAATTTACACATTATTGTTTATTTTATTTCACTTAACAAAGAACATAAGGCACTAACACATTTTTTCTAAACTATCTTAAAGGTGGGGTAGGTAAGTTTGAGAAACCGGCTCGAGATACACTTTTTGTTATATTCCATGGAATGCTCTTAACATCCTGATAGCAATGAATATCTGAAGTGCTTTGACAAAAAATCCATAAATAAATATCATCTGTGGAAGCCGTAGTACTGTAAAAAGCACGACCAATCATTTTAGCCGGCCCGGCTAAAATGATTGGATGGCCTACCTGCCTGTCAGCCTTCCATCTGTGCACAAACTTATCTCGTGCCCTCATTGGTCATGTGCGCGTTCGTGTGTGTTGGAGGAGGGGCTCTGTAAGGAAGTGGCAGATTTTTTCCGGCTGTGTATTTTCAAATCCTAGCGATCTCGAGCTGGTTTCTCCAAAATTACCTACCCTACCTTTAAGTTATCAGTCTTCTTTAGTTTTGTTTCTCAAAGCCATGAAACTGAATTAAATATTTGTTATCAATGAATTCTTAACTAAGGTAAGCTTTTTAAATGATCTTAGCTTTAAGATGTTTTTATGACAGAAGGCCCAGAAGGGCTTCAAGTCATCAGACAGTGTGCCTTTCTTTAGAATAAAAACATGTATTTCAATCTAGTTTGAATAAATTACCTAAATAAAATATGAAGATAAAAAGCTCACTGTAAATAAAATGGTATGAAGGGCTCACAGATTTAGTGTGAATTTACTAGGTAAAACAATATGACTTCTTTGACACTCAGATGTTTTTTTCAGATTTCTGGCAACAGGGCTTAAAGAGAAAACTGTTTTAGCCTGAGGTCCAGACTCAGGTGGACGTGATGAACAGCTGTAGCTTCAACAGTGCTGGACTCATTCAAGTCTTTAAAGTTCAAACAGTAACCACACCCCAGACCAGAGATGGGGTCGTTACTAAAAAAAAGTAATATATTACATATTACATTAAAAAAAAGTAATATATTACACCACTTCGTTACTCTCTACATAAAGTAACTTGTTACTTTACTCGTTACTTTACTCGCTACTTTACTCGCAGGGCCGGCCCGCCCCTCCCTACAGGCAGATCACGCAGACTGCTAAAGTTTCAAATGTTCTCTTTAGTTCAGTTTCCATTGTCGCATAAAACTGATCCAGATAGCTCAGGGGCCTCATTTATAACGCCTTGCGTAGGATTCACGTGGGAAGGTTGCTTACGTAGTACAAAGCAAAAAAATAGGTAAAGAAATGTTCCGACATTTTCCGATTCACAAAACATTACGTACCGGCGAGGGAAGTGTGTACGGCACTTCCTACGCCTGTTTCCCTTTATAAATCACAATCGACTCGAAATGCGGCGCAGCTTTTGCAGGCTTCACGTAACGCCCATATTTGCCTATAAATAGTCAAAGAAACGCCCATTCATTCATTCATTTTGACTGACTGCATGAAGAAGATCGCAGGAAATGACGACAACAGCTAAAAAAGACATCTCACACCGTGTCAGATTTGGGTTATTTTGGGGAGGTGGAGATAAATCATATTGTTTGGTGGATGCAGTTTGAACCAGAGTAGCAGCATGGAGGTCGGATCGTCACCAAAGTAAATAAATAAGTGGTCCGAAAAAAGTTAATGACAAAAAAAATACACATAACCTTCCTCAGGCAGTGTGTTTGTACCGGGGACAGGAGACACCCCCTTGATGAGAAACTGTTAGAAATGATCGGGGAATCCCTCCGGAGTGGAGTCATGACGACTGGATCTGAATTATTTTTTTGTATTTGGTGGTTTGTGTTCCAGCTGTCGATCAGCAACTATATATCCATAATCCACCAGTTAAAGGAAATACAATGTGTTGTGTTATATTAGCTGTACAATTTACCACATATGGTGTTCTTAGTTTCCATACCTCCTGTGTTTTACGAGCGACTTATCAAGTCTTGGCAAACGGCATAAAACACGATTAAACGTGATAGTATATAAAACCATGCTCGTATCTACAACCTATAGAAATGCAAAACGGCGTCAGTTTAGACGTAATTCTGTCCTCCTGCTTACCGCATCATTTATGAGAAAACATTTCATAACATTAACACAACATATTCGAGGTGGTTTTAAATAACATATCCGTATTTATTTATTTCTCCAAGTTATGTTTTTGTGTGCACTGAGGAGTCTCAAACAGGCGTTTGTTTAATCATTTTAAGATTGGCTTTAATCAATGTTTGAAAATGAATTCTTCATATTTGATAAATGAGAGGTAACATTTTATTTATGGTATTATTTCCACATATTTCTCTCCATTCTTCCTTCTGCCAACAGTGTCGCAGTTTCTCGTCTCTCCCGTTTTTGTGCTTAGTGCGTACGCATGGGTTAGAGTTTGCGTGGAGGACAGCACATTTTCCCGTCAAGTTAGTATTTTATAAATCGCAAACATTGCGTAGAAACTGGCGTACGCCATTTTTTGAGCGTATATCCCTTTATAAATGAGGCCCCAGACCATGGCTGTTCTCTGTCTCCTGCTATCTGTATTTTGCGCAGTATATCTCTGAACGATGCGATGGTGATTCCACTGTGCAAATGGGCAACATTTTCTCTACTATGAAGGATGCTACAAGCCTGTCCATCTCTGCTTTGGTTACCGGTCCTCCAAATTCTAATTTGTGCTGCTTCGGAGTCGGCGGCGGCACACTCACAACATCCTCACTCTGGGTTCGGGGGTCCTTAGCTATTAGCTTCACCTTAGCATGTGTTCTTTGCAGGTGTTTGTTGAGGTTTGACGTGGTGTTTGCAGCAGTGGATAACAGCTTCTGGCCTGGACACAGTTTGCACCTCACCGTCACACTCCTGTCTATTCTTCGGACGAACTCAAAATAATGGGCATACCTCCACCCCTCGAAAGTTATAGCTGACTCTGCCATGTTTATGCAGCACTGCACGTGGAGATGTGGACGCGCAAGTCGTGCAGATTACGTACATATAAACCTGCGGTGGAAACCCCTCTTGTCTGTCAGTGTGATTATGACTGATTTTATAAAAGTAACGAAGTAACGCGTGTCGGGGCAATGGTAACTGTAGTGTGATTACTGAATTATAAAAGTAACGCGTTACACTACTCCGTTACCGACAAAAGTAATATTATTACCCACCCAACTCTGCCCCAGACCCAGATCTACTTAAACCTTCTGCTGGGTCTAGGTTGGAGAGAGACGAGTCTGAGTACAGAGGGAGAGGGGGGGCACATCTCTCTGCATTCTGTCGTGTGGTTATATCTCTACATTAAAAAAGCCTCAACAGCACAGCAGTGTCCCATGAGTGCAGTACCTGAAGCCACCTCCAGGGGCCCGTGTCCCTTGCGCAGCTCCTTGACCCCGTCCAGGAACTCTCGGCCCCCAGCCTTCTCCAGGGCGGTGCCTGGAACAGGACAGCAGCAGGTGAACACCAGACTGGGGGGACTTAATAAGAAATGAAGTACAAGTGAACATGTCTCCTTACCCACTCCGTCTTTCATGTCCATCTCTGCGTTTGTCGGGTTGATTATCCCCTCCACTTTGATTGTTCCGATTTTACTGATTTCACTCTCTGTGAGTGACAGCTGTGGAAACACAAGTTCATCAACAGAGAAACAGCTGCTGAGTTTCTGACTGAGTCTAAATGACACTGATTTGGCTCTCATGATATCATATTTGCACTGGAAGTAGACTAGAGGTTGATGCATCAGCAGCTTCAGTCCCTTACCTTCTGTCCCAGGAACAGGCTCTTTGCTGACAGGATGGTGAACCCGTCTCCAGGACCGTCCTCCACCGTGGAGTTTGGTACAGACTCGTTCTCTGTGCTCTGTGCACATGGAAAAAATATATTCCATTGTTTAAGGTAACAGTAAGAGTGTACAGAGTATAAGCCTAAAACCATACTCTTTATTCACCTAATCTTTCTCCTGATATGCAGTATTTCTTGAGTCTCAGTGTTCCTAGCTCTAGCTCATTTGATCATGACAGTTTTTTGACACAAAAACATTGAGCAGTTTGGCATATTGGGTTGAATGAAATAAAGATTACATATGTGACCCGAACACAAGGTCCACATAAGCTCTTTCTGGAGCTTTATATCTCACAGTTTTCTGAAGCAAACGGTGTGAAATTCAGCTACTGAAAAATATGATTTGGAAATGATTGTTCCCCTGATAGCTACAGACGTGTTCTAGTGAAGGTCTGAGTTTTTTGCAAACATACTTGTTAAGTGTTAATGAGATGCATTCTGTTGTTTGAGAATCTGACAAGCATTTCATTTTGAATCCACCCCTCCCCCCTGTTCCCTTGACTGACCTTTGGCTTGCGGCCTCGTTTGCCTTTAACCTTTTTGAGGGGTTTGACGGGTTTCTTGCTCTTTGGGCGTTCTTCCTGCTTCTCAGGGACGGACGCCTGGCTGTCCACCCTCACCCGGCCCCCCCCTCTTCTTGGAGAGCAGCTCTGGGTGGATGCGAGGCAGAACCCCTCCGCTTGATATGGTCACCCCCCGCAGAAGCTGGTGGAGAGACATTTCCAAAACAAAGAGTTTGAGGTGTGTATCAGCGGAAACATCTGACTCAGCTGAAACTTGCATTACCACACACACCTCACTCTCCAGGAACAAGACTTTAACTCAAATCACAATGAAAGGACATAACCTTGTTACTCATAAAGCAATAATTTCTTTATTTTCTAAGCCAAGGTATGAAGACCAAAACAGAGCTGAGAGAGAATATGACATTCATTCAACATCACTGCAAATGGATGCTAATGTGATGTGTCAATAGTTTGATGAGGTGATATTACAGCATGTCAGATGTTTTCAGCTTGTTACTCTTCCCTCAAAATGTCATGATTTCATTTTGCATTAGCAGCTGCTCTTCAAGCTTCTCCTCACTTTACCCTTCAATGACGTCTGGTGAAAACAGATTCTGAATGCTGTCTGAATTAAACAGATTTCTACTCCTCTGTGTCTTCTTTTAGCCAGAACCAACTTCAGAATGCAGCAGGGCACAGTTCAAAATCCCTTTAAAGGGCCCATGTCATGCTTTTCCGGTTATTACCCGTCCCCTTGTGTGTTATGAAGGTTTTTATGCATGTAACCGGTCTGCAAAGTCACAAACCCTGAAAGTACACCCTGTAAAACTCTAACACAGAAAAGACCTGTCTATGCTGCCTCAGAACACCTCGTTGGAGATTTCTCTTTTTCCATTGTTTTCTTCCTGGGTACAGTGACGTGCCCATACCCAAATGGACCCATTGGTCCAAATGGACCAATCCGTGGAGCCGTTACCTTACGTCCGCGGAGCCACGGACTTCCTCACACACACACACTCAATCTTTTCTCAGCTGCAGCTCCGCCGATTTCTCCTCCCTGAGACGGCGGGACGGCGAGGCTGCGGGTCGGTGTGTGAGCACACACACAAACTCCCAGCCAGGCTGCGGGTCGGTGTGTGAGCACACACACAAACTCCCAGCCAGGCTGCGGGTCGGTGTGTGAGCACACACACAAACTCCCAGCCAGGCTGCGGGTGTGTGTGTGTGTGTTTGGGCTGGTTTCGGGCTGGGTTTCACTGTGTCTCGCTGTGTCTCGCTGTCTCGCAGACGGCCACTGGGCTCACAGGGAGGGGGGGGCAGGAGCTCCAACAAGCCGTTTAGGACAGAGAGTGAATACACATACTTTACAGAGATGCTGTATGAGAAACCAATGTGAGTTTGGAACATTGAACAATATAAATCTATTCTAGTAGACCTCAACAATGGAATTATGATCAGTAGAAATGGCCATGACATGGGACCTTTAACACATATTTCTTTGTTTTGAAAGCAACTTTGTCATAACTGTGTTAGGAAATAAGCATAGCCCAATATATTTTGTCAACATAAAGTCAGAGAAGTATTTGCTTGTACTTGATAATGTTGATTAGAGCAGCTTCATCATGACCAGCTGTAATGGAGACACCCATCAGTGAGCGGCTGGTACCTGGTTGAGCTCCTCGTCGTTGGCCACAGCCAGCTTTATGTGCCGGGGAGTTATTCTGCCTTTCTTGTTGTCCCGTGCTGCGTTTCCAGCCAGCTCCAAGATCTCAGCTTAGAGAGAAAACACATTGTGGAAACCTGTCAAACATACATGTGTGTTCTGCTATTTAAACATGGTTACTTCCCACTGTGAGACTCCCAGCCGAGCACCAAGAATGTAACAACCGACGGGTTCGGACTGACACCTGACACAGCAAATAAACATCCAGTAAACATCTTGTTTGCCTCTGTGTTACTGGCTTTAAGGCCCGGACAACTTAGGCCCCGTCCACACGGAGACGATATCAGTTGAATCCGCTAACGTTCTCTATCGTATAGACTAGTGGTTCTCAACTGGTCAGGCCTCGGGACCCACTTTTTCCTTTGTCAATAAATCGCGACCCGAAATTTGAACCACTGAAATCTATTCAACAAAAAAATCGTGCTGTAATATATATACGCTTTTCAGCATACAATATGAATTAAAGTGAAGTACAGTGCATCCCTTATATCCCTTCACAGAACTAAAGAATGCTTTTAAATAAGGTTTAATGAAATGATGGAATCAAAGCTGAACTGTATAATATCAAAAGGCACACATGCTGAAAACCCAACCCCAGCAGGGGGTCTGGGGGTATTCTCCCACAGGAGATTTTTAGAAATACTAACATATAAACTACGCATTCTGGTACACTCTGAGAAGAAAATAAATAAATCTATTACTACCCGACATATTAATAATATTTTATGCCATTGTTTGTTTTTCACTTTGTTCTGACAGCTGAACTTGCTGCTCCTCACAGAGAGAAGAGCAAAGAGGAGATAGTCTGTGTGACTTACTTTAAATTGTGGGTAAGGGTAGATAGCTCCCATTGTTCTGTGACCTGTCAGTCATCAAACCGGGGGTCATATTTCATTATGTGTTCATTTTTATCTGAAGTTGTACCCATGGATGTATAAAGAATAGTTCTACCGCAAAGTTATTCTCCGTGGGGACTTCCGACAACAATCTTGATTCTGATTGGCCAGAAGACTCGAAAAAACATCAGCAAAGATGTTTTATTGAGAAGATGATCACTACGTGACAGAAGTTTTCAAAACCGTTTATGGTCTCCGGTACTTCCAGTCCAACGCCTACTGCATGCACAGCGTTAGAAAATCGGGCCTTCAAAATAAAATGTTGACTTTTTTCCAAAAAAAAAGATATATATATTTTGTTCAACTTTTTTTTTCCTTCACTCACACATCTTCGACCCACTCGAAACGGGTCCGCGACCCCCTTTTGGGTCGCGACCCACCAGTTGAGAAACACTGGTATAGACGGTTCGTCCACACGAGGCCGACACGGAAACACGTTTCTTGAGCCGATTCCGTGTGGACGGAAGACTTTTTTGATATCGAATTCGGTTCGTTTTCGTCTCGTCTCCGTGTGGACGGGGCCTTAGACCCATCCAAAAATATAGACCTGTGCTATAATGAACAATGTTTGTGTTACAATTAATATCATATTATTATAATTTATAGTCATAATGCTTGGAATTTAATTTAAGATTGTTAGATGCAGATGTATTCTCTTCCATATTTTCTTTAGTGTAGATGTCTTGTGCTTTTTAAAGGTGTTATATTATTTATAAATGTTTATTTTATAAAATGATAAGTATGTAAGATCAGGGACTATAACATCAGATCATATAGATCATAAAACTAGATATTAAAGTAGTAAAACTATGTGATACATGACAATGGCGCACATCAAAATGTGAAACTACTTTTATTGCCTTTAGAAGACAACTAAAACACGTATATTTTGGATTATTTTTTAACAATGTCCGTTGGACCGAAGAATATTTACATATAATGTATTTTTTACACATACAACAGTACACCTGGAATCATGCCCTTACACTACATGCTGTAACAGAACGTGTCACCCACCTGCCAGGTACTCGATGACCGCGGCCATGTACACCGGAGCCCCCATGCCGATGCGGTATTTGTGTGTGCCGATGCGCAGGTACCTCATCATCCTCCCCACAGGGAAGATGACCCCCGCCCTGGCTGAGCGGGACATCTTGGTGGCCTTCTTCTTCCCTCCTCTGGCTGACATCTTGATCTGCACAGCGGGGCGGGGCGGGGGGTGGGGTGGGGGGAAACACATCACACTGTGACACATACAGCAGCTTTTGAAACAGAACATAGGGTTAGTTCTCCTGCACAAAGAAAACGTTTACATAAGCACTATTTCTTTGTTCTAAAGTAGTTAAGATTGTAAACCGCACTTTTAAATTAAATTATTGGTTTTCAAATGTCAAAACCTAGACAAACAAAACCAAAACAGCATTTGAACATTGTTTTCTTTTGTACATTTTCCAGCCACATATTTATTATTAATGTGTATTTAAATGTTATAATACAAGTAAAAACTGTGTGAATATAACCAGAGTGCTCTACACAACTGGGGACTGACAGTGCTAGTTTGACAAACACATAAGTACATTGATAGTGAATTGATCACAAATAAATTGCACCGGAGTGCAAACTGTCCACAGAGGATGTTAAGACACTGGGACATTTAGAGATTTTTGCTGTGTTTTTTTTCTCTCATAGAAGCCCATTTTTTTTACGATTATTTGCCAAATAAAATCCTAGATAAATAATTTGTATCACAGTACATTTACTCAAGTACTGTACTTAAAAACACATTTAGGTACTTTTACTATACTTTACTTGAGTAATTTCACATTATACTACTTTATACTTGTACTACATTTTGAAGGCAAATGCTGTACTTTATACTCCACAACATTTATTATCAAGTAGCGCGTTCACGCCGGAGTACTTTTCCCACAATAGTTCATCAGAACTACGATATATTTGCGTTCACACCAAAAAGCCCCAGGAACTGAATTAGTTAATCAGAACCATTTTTACCCCGTTTTCAGTCCCTGCTAGAGAGCAGGGACTTTCGTGGGAGAAAAAAGTTCACACGTCTGATTGGCTGTGCGGAATGCATACCACGCCCCGTTTAACTCTGAATTTTTTTTTGGAGCGGCCATTGTATTTGCTGGCATTATTAGCCCAGCGCACCAACGAGAGTACTTTTGTGAAAGCAGTTATTATGGCAACAATAAGAATACGAAAATCATCGGAGCGGTGGAGTGCTGCGGGAGTGTCTGCGTGCGCATCTCTCCCAGATGAGCTAAACAGTTTTTTTGCACGCTTTGAGAGCAGCCAGGCTGTGGAGGTACAGAGGGACCAGGAGCTACACTGCCCTTTTGTTTTAAATAGGGCAGATGTGTGTAAATCCTTTAAAAGGGTTAACCCACACAAGGCTCCTGGACCTGATGGCATCCCTGGCCGTGTTCTCAGGGTGTGTGCAGTTCAGCTGGCAGAGGTGTTCACAGACATCTTCAACAGGTCCCTGCTGCAGTCTGTAGTCCCCACATGTCTTAAACACTCCACCATCATTCCTGTCCCCAAAAAGACAATCATCACCTGCCCCAACGACTACCGCCCAGTAGCACTCACCTCCATCATAATGAAGTGCTTTGAGCGGTTAGTCAAATTATTCATCACCTCCTCCCTCCCTGAATCTCTGGACCCCCTGCAGTTTGCCTACAGAGCAAACAGGTCCACAGACGACGCCATAGCCCTCACCCTCCACACTGCCCTCTCACACCTGGACCCGAAAAAGAGGAACACATATGTGAGAATGCTGTTCATTGACTACAGTTCAGCATTCAACACCATTGTGCCCTCCAAGCTGGCCATCAAGCTCAGAGACCTCGGACTCAACAGCGCCCTCTGCGACTGGATCCTGAACTTTCTGACGGGCAGACCCCAGGCAGTGCGGGTGGGAAATATCACATCCTCCACCCTGATTCTCAACACCGGTGCCCCTCAAGGCTGCGTGCTCAGCCCTCTCCTCTACTCCCTGTTCACCCACGACTGCGTGGCCACACACAGCTCCAACACCATCGTGAAGTTTGCTGATGACACGACCGTCATCGGCCAGATCACAGACGATGACGAGACGGCATACAGAGAGGAGGTCGAAAACCTGACATCTTGGTGCCAGGAGAACAACCTCCATCTCAACATCAGCAAAACAAAGGAGCTGATTGTGGACTACAGGAAGCAGCAGGGAGAGGGACACGCCCCCATCGCCATCAATGGGACTACGGTGGAGAGAGTCAAAAGCTTCAGGTTCCTTGGGGTCCACATCACTGAGGACCTGACATGGTCTCTTCACACCACCACCATCACTAAGAAAGCTCGACAGCGGCTCTTCTTCCTCCGCAGGTTGAGGAGGTTCAAAATGGATTCCAGGATACTCTGCAACTTCTACAGGTGCACGATAGAGAGTATCCTCACTGGCAGCATGACGGCCTGGTACGGCAGCTGCACCGACCTCGATCGTAAGGCTTTACAGAGGGTGGTGAAAACTGCACAGCACATCACCAGGACGGAGCTGCCATCCATGGAGGACCTTTACTCCCAGCGGCTCAGGAAGAAATCACTACGGATTATCAAAGACCCCCATCACCCCAGCCACAAACTGTTCTTTCTGTTGCCGTCTGGCACACGTTACCGCAGCATCCTGGCAAGGACAAGAAGATTCGGAGACAGTTTCTTCCCGCGGGCAGTGAGACTGTTAAAAAATTGAACTGTTGAAACAACTTCAAACATTCAACTGCTACTCAGTAGTATGTATCTAATACCTAATATATATATATCATTCCAATAACTTGTATATAGACTCATACTGCACTATTCCACATCATAACTTTATTTCATTTTTATAACTATTATTATTTTTGTATTGCTCTTGCTCTTATTGTTATTATGTTATGTTATTATGTTGCATTGTTGGAGAAGCCTGTGACATAAGATTTTCAACTGCATAATTACTCTGTAGCTATGTCAGATTGACAATAAAGAACCTTGAACCTTGAACCTTGAGTGATGAGGATGTGTCGGCACGTCTGGCGATTTACTCGGAGGATGGGATCCAGCAGCTTCTACTGAAGGCAGTTTCCAACTGCAAAATGTATCAGCGTTGTTCGGTAAAGTTAGCCGACATGGGAATCTTCCACAGCGCACACTCATGCCGGGACAAAATAAAGAAACTAAAGCAGGACTACAAACAAATAAAAGACCATAATAACAAGAGTGGTAACGGCCGGAAGACCCGTAAATGGTATGATCGATTGGATGCTCTGCTCGGCCAGACCCTCATTCTCCGGCACTTGTGGTGAAACGGCGGATTCAGTGGCCTGTGAATTGTCCAACGACAACTACTACGAAGGTAAAATAAACTACATGCACTGCACTGTTTTAATCTGCACAATCCTGGTCTCAGATGTACTTTTATTTGCTCAGTAGATCGAGCTAGCCATGCTAGCCAGAACTGGCTAACACTGCTAGCCAGTTCAGCCTAGCATGGCTAATAACATCATTCTCGGCCGCTATAAAAACGTTTTTGACTTGTGAATAAGTGTGTAATGTTTTCTGTAATTTGCTTCACTAACTCATGGCACTAATTGTGTGTTTCAGGCGAGGCAGGACAACTCTCTGGATTGGAAACAAGTGAGCTTTCCCCTCCGGATCACAACAGCAGCACTTTCTCGTCTCCTTTTCAACCATCCAAACGCAAAAGTACGTACAAACACACTGTAACTACTCTGGTCTTGAAAGAACGTTACGCATCGAACTGATGTCCACTAATCACGTTTATTTCCTTCTTGGTACAATTATGAAACACCGTGAAAAAACATCGTTTACACTTTTAGCGCCCTTTTCACTCTCTCATAAACATCCGGGCTAGAGGTCACATGACTTCCGGTAAGAAAACGTATAATTTTTGGACAAAGTTCAAGCGTACATTAAGCACTCTAAAAAAATATAAAACAATAAATAAGGGCACTTTGAGCGTCAGCTATTTGATGCTATCTTATCTTCTACTTTACACCTGCATTTTGTACCCTGTCCCTGTCTGCACCATGTCCAATGTTGTCTCTGTTGACAACCTACTAGGCGATCAAACTGATCTTGTATCTTGCTTATTTCTCCTTAGGAAAGCGGGCACGGGATGACAGCTTCCTTGACACCATCATGGTGATGGAGAACTGCCGTGCCATGGTCAGCAAGGAGAATGAGGACCTGCGTGCCAAGGAGATGCACGACGAACGGCTGCTGCATTCACACAAGGCCCAGGAATCGGACGACCAGCTGCTCATGGTGATGCCGCGCCATGCTGACTCGGCGGCGCGCCAGGTGGAGGTGTCGGCGCGCCAGGTGGAGCAACAAAATACCTTTCAGGCTGGGCTTCTGGCAGTGCTAAGCGAGCTGATTAAATCCAACAGGCCTTCAATAAAAAAATTAAGAAAAACTTGTCGTTGTTGATAAACTGTACAATGACTTGTTGGGAGGCGTGTGGTGCGTTGGTGTTCGGATCAGGGGAGCACAGGTTCAAACCCCACTGCAGTCAGCATGTCGTTGTGTCCCTGGGCAAGACACTTCACCCCAAATTGCCTACACCTGGGACAGTTAATTTTGTATTATTGTGATTATATATATGCCACTGTTATTAATACTGACACTTCACTTTGCACTAAGGTGTGTCTGCTGCTGAGCCTATCTATTGTTATTATATATATATATATATATATATATGTTTTGATACTACTGACACTTTATTTGATATTGAAAATGTTAACTTCTATTTACATGCATACGACACACCTGGGACAGCGTGATGCTGTTATTGATATTGTCTTGAGTGTGCAATAAAAGAGAACCTACATGGCGATTAAACAGAGCCTGTATCTTACATTTTTCATTACATTTCATGTAACTAAGCTTGCTTATTTCTCCTCTGACACTTTATCTTTACAGTGACCTGTGTAGCATCCTATACATCACATGCAAGTGATTATTCTGATACCATCATGTTTCATCGGTTATAAACTGGCGAAGCTTTATTTATTGTGGCTTTCAAAAAGATAATTTCATTGTATTTCAAAATGGCGTCCAACACAAGCACTATTTATTTATAGAAAGAGAAATGGTTAAGTTTGTTATTACCAGTGTTGTGAGTTCAATATTTTTAATTAATTATAGTAAGGGAACATCTTAGGAGTTAGTGTAGTGAGTTTCAGAGCAGTGTAATAATTATTTGACCTAAAACTAAATGTTTTTATGAACATGACATGGGGATTTGCTAACTTTTGATTTCCCCCATTTTACACGACACAAATGGAGGCCACTATGGGCCAAAACTAACACGTAGGTTTCTGTAGGGTTCATGGCAGACGGATGCAGTTGCTCTCAGGAGGATATATAATAAAGGTGTGTTAGCTGCTGAGCCTATTTAGTGTGCATACGACACACCTGGCACAGTTTATTCATTTCACACGTAGGGTAGCGCGTGCATGTCGTCGTCCAATCCTTTTGTCAATCCTTCTTAACCGCCTTCGCTTCCGAATCAGCATTGCTATTGCATTTGACTGGTCGACGATCTGTATTTGTGTTTGCTTAAATAACTCAGACGAAGCTCATGTCTGAGGTCGGAAGGTAAACAGACGCCTCATATACAGCAGGTGGGCGCGGCAGTATACGCGGGAGGTTTTTCTTCTTCTTTTTCTCTCGGTTTTTTGGCGGATTGCAACTTTAAGGTGCATACCGCCACCTACTGTGCTCGCCGTGAAGTTGTTTGCGGCCTGCCAGTAAACCCAAAGCAGAAGAAGAAGAAGTGACGTCAGCGGTTCATTGGCCAAATCCACCCCCAGGAACTCATTTTGGTGTGAACGCGATCTGCTTTAGTTCATCAGAACTAAAAGAGTTCTGATGAACTAAAGTTCTCATGAACTATTGTGGGAAAAGTACTTGGTGTGAACGCGCCTATATTTAGTTACTGACTATTTTGAAGATTTAGATTATTTATTCTAAATATAAATTAACTATTAAATGATCATATATTATATAGGTTAGGCTACCCAGTAGTATATAAAGTAGTTCAAATAAACCCTGCCTCTACCAAGTGCAAAATTAAGGTGATCAACACATTCATTCATAAATATTTATAATAATTCAATTCTTAAATGGCCCATTCTGCAAAATTAGTATTTTTACTTGAGTAAATAATCCGAACACTTCTTTCACCTATTATATTCAGTGTAAAACCTGATGGAGTCAGGCAGGTATCAGCCCAAGGTGAGTGACACCCATAGACTGTATGGTGACACCCTGAGGAAGGAGGGAAGGAAGCCTTTAAACAAGCTGCTGCTGCAGGAGAAAAACATCCGTGACGTCCACTGTCTGTATAGGACGCCATAATGAAAGCCAGTCGTCTTTTTCTCCAACAAACTATGTTGACCAAGGTGGAAAGGATACCATTACCCCCGAGGCTTCCATGTAAACAAGTCCCAGCCGGGAGGCAGGGAGCCGGGCTGCGGCCTGCAGCAACCCCTTGGAGCCCGCATCCCCTACACGTATGCACTCATTAACACAGCCGCTCACAGCTGCTGTCAGAAGGGGACGTAGGATGTACGTACCGTGTTCGGTGGAAAAAGACGGGAATGTGACCGGGGCCATGTAAGCTAACGGTAGCCTACTGTATCGAGCATTACGTACAGCGAGGCAGCAACTGCTTTCGACGTAGCTACGCAGACGTTCAAATTACTTTCTGGTTATGTAAATCGTAGAGAAGCCTTTCACAGCAACACTTAATCAAACGTTGATATATATTTTATTATTATTTCTCATTCTTCCACTAATTCAAGAGAACGTAAAGCTAAGGGTATGTCAGTGTCAGCTACGAGAGGTCGGCTGGGTACGTCCAAATAAAAATACTCATTAGGCTACATATTCCGCGAGGCACTTTCGCGTGCACTGTTAAATAGAGACAACATGAACACAACGACCCTTTTCTCTGAAGCGCCCCCCCCCCGCATCGAACCCTCTGCATGTGTATCACATCAGACATGGAAAGTAGCGTCCAGTTAATCCGGATGTGCAGCGGAAAAGCTTCCAAGTTCCTCCATATCCAGTGTTTGCTCTCTACCTGTTAGTGCTGCTTTAGGCGGATCCGCGCGTGACAGAAGCCCCCGGTGAGAGACGGCGCGCGGTGTTTTGGTTCCGTTCCTCTGTTGTCCTTCTCACCGTGTTCTAGCTTCCCAACCTGAGAGGAACCCCACGGAGCTGCAGGAACAGCGTAGTCTGGAGGAGGCTGGCTCTGTGCTACTGATGCTGCAAAGGGGAAAAATTCAGAAAACGCCCCCCTAACATGGCTTAAAGAGGGATGATGTTGTTGAGGGAAATGCAGTGTGCTTACTTAGCATGAAGTCAATCCTAATATAATAGGCTATATACATTGAAAATATTTGTACCACTGAGGCCAGTAATTGGTACTCTAAATGTGCCTCGCATGAGGCCTTGCAGCAGGATATAGCCTACTGGGTAGTTCACTTGATGCTTTCCAGCCAGGCAGGAGGCTACACTAGGCTCAGTGAAAGCTGCACAGGACCAGGTCTAACAGGCAGTGGAACACTTCCTCTGTCCCTGAACATGCAGAGTGTGGCAGTGGATCAGAGGATCCTGGCAGCCTGTCTGATCATCAGAAGGGAAATCCCTAGGCTGAGAGACTCTCAGCAGCACTTTGTTGAAATGTGGTGGGGATTAAAATAAAACTGTATTGCGCGCCACCCTTTTTTATGTACACACTAGTTTCCCTACTATTTGTCAGCAACACCTGTAGACACAGGGTTCACAGTGCCAGGCTACACACTATTTTCGTAGGAACCATTATATGTGCCTGGGGAAATTATTGAGGAAGCCAAAAATCTCTGTCTTTTTTTAGGAGACTTCCACCTGTTCTCCACGCAGAAACACACACCTGCAACTGACAAGTTGTGAAAAATATGACATGTCATCTGTATGTCCCCCCAGAAGATTTATTTTTATTTGTACATGCAAGCTATGCATTTTGGGTACTCTTTGAGAAGAGAATAAACCAAAAAGACAACATTTAATTTAAGCTAACAGGCCAAGCAACATTGCCCCTTACATGTTTTGGGTCCTTTTCGAGTCAGTAGAGTAAGGAGGAATTATTTTGAGTTTACATTTCCTTTTTTGTGTGCAGTGCCTAAGTTTACTGACTTGGGTCCCCAGAAACACATCCACCAAGTGTGAACAGACAAACTGTTTACAAGATGTACATGTTATCGTGTGCAAAATAAACCAGTGTTCTGGTTTATTACATTTCTCTGTGCACGCTATCTTTCGGAACATTTCTAAGTTATACTTTCAAAAAGTGTTTGGCACATCATGTCCCCAGCGTCCCCAGTGTAAATGACACCTGCCTCTGCAAGGAGTAAAGGTACTTATCGCAGAGATAAACTCAAAATAATCAAGTCTTCGCTTTTGAGAAGCTGAAATTGAGAAATGTTTCTTAACGAAACGACCTAAACAATTAGCAAAATTGCTGCCAATAATTTGTTGTCAACCTACTTATTGGTACTTTAATATAATGTTGGATGGCATCATATTACACAAGTTCTTCCTAAGGTCTGTGTGTAAAAATTGCAACTTATGAAGTACCTAACTACATTTCTAAAGTAAATCTAAATAAAAAGTACATTGTTTCCCTTTGAATTGTTGTGAAGTAGAAGTATGGAGTAGATGCGTTGATGGCTGCATCGTTACCAAACCTGTGAAGTTTTGGGCCGTTTGGAGCATTTTCACTGAAGTTATGAGAAAACCGTGTTTCATGGCGAGCATTGTGTTGCCATGGCAACGGCATTTGAAGAAATCTCAAAACTGTCCCGTAGATGTCTTCACGGCTGGACTGTTAGCACACATGTGAAGTTTGAGAACATTTTCATAGGAGTTAATGTATAGCGACATCGTCTTTTATGGCGAGGGATGTGTTTCCATGGAAACGGCATATGATGACACCCCATAATTGACGTAGAGCTGTTGAGGGCAGGACCATTAACCATTATCTGAAGTCTGCTGCTCTGAGCATGTCAGTTGGATCAAAGGTTTCCATTGTTCTGAATGACAGATAAACCTGTTACATGTGAACGTTTTGTTGAAGAACCGTAACAGATATCGGTGGAATTTCAAAGTGTGAAGCATGTCAAGGACCTTGAGTATCTGAAGTGTGCTTTTTATGTACTTTCGGGTCAATAATGTGGCCTTTTTGGCAGATTAACTAAAGGTGTGCGGCTGCTGCTGTGAGGAAATATCAGCCTGAAATTACAATGGGCTTTAATGGAGACATGTTGAACGTTTTTGTCACTTCATGCCCTCAAGAGGCATTTTGTTTAATTATTTTGCTTAATTATTTGTCATTTTCCAAGCTACGAGATGTAGCTTGGAAAGATGTAGATGTTTCCTACGTTTGTCATGAAAAATTATGTCTCAAGAATGTAGGGTTTGGGAATTATGGCAGTTTAAAAAAAAAAATGAAGGCAAATTTCAAGATTTCCTACACTCTTGCTGTGACATCACGAACTCTAGTTAATGTTCAAATCTGAAGAAGGCCTCTGTACCAAGGTCTGAACAATGTTTAATATCTCTAAAAGTAAGAATCAGATTTAAAAGTTGTGTTACACGAATAATGTTAGAAAGATGTGTAACATTTTAAAGTTGGAATGAGGTTTCTGAGTGAAAGTATGAAGGAACAGTTAGCAGTTGAAGTCGCATGAAGATTGTTCAAGTCTGAAGATTTTCTCCATTGACTTCAATGGTTAAAAATGTGATGAATTATGGGATATATCTCGGGAATTATGAAAGTTCTGAATGAGAAAAGTAATAGCCATCGATTCCTGACCGAGCTGAACGTTTTGATGTTTGAACGGAGTTTCTGCGATGTGGAATGTGGGAGAAGAAGACCGGCAAAATAACGGGCGGAATCAAGATTTTGAATAATATATAGTTGGAATGCTGTATCAGCATTCCCACTAAATTATCAAAGAGAAATTTATTTGAATTAATTAACAATTTGGGTAAAAATTATTAACATTTACTTAATATCTGTGTGAAATTAATTTTTTATTTATTGAATATCTGGCTGAAATTAATTTACATTTACTTAATAATATTAAATGTCACTTTGTTGCCATACATTTTCTATACCTAATCCAATCGCTATTTTTGACAGGGGGAGCAGTGTCATCGTCTTTGTCTGTCTTCCAAGACAATGGGTCTGGCTGCTGTGCAGGTGGGGGTGATGGTGCATGGGCTGCTGGTGGCTGTGTTGGAGGGAGGTAGGTGTGATTGTCCCGGGTTGATGCTGGTGGCTGTGTGGGAGGCAGGGTCGGCTCTAGAACAAATCGAATGGGGGGCAATCATTTACCACGGGGGGGCACACACTGCCGTCAACAACCAACACACAAACACCAACGCAACTTCAATTTTAAAAAACATGCTGTAAAGTCACACACATTGCAGGGGTATAGTGCTATTTTATAGGCACCTATGACGGTTGTGGCACGACCACCAAAACAGAAACATATGGACATAGGCCACCATATAAAAAGTGTGCAAATGTATTTAGTATCCTATCCATGTGAACATGTCTTAGGTGGGGGGTGGACCTAACCTCCTCTAGGGGGGTCCGGGGGCATGCTCCCCCGGGAAGATTTTTTTTTAAATATTGAAGTTAAAAGCATCAATCTGGTGCACTTTGAAAGCAACATTAAGAGATCTATGGATACATCTCCCAACACCCATATAAAACAGAACTGTAAACAGATGTACTTTTTCTTTATGGATATTTTACTAATCACTCCCCTTTTAAACTTTATTCTTGTGTTACTGTCCTATAGTATTTCATACCTGTTTTTTATTTATTCTCTTATTTTTGAATAACTATAATGATCATATAAAGGTGTTCCTCGCAAATACTTGTTTACATAAATGGTGACCAAACCGTTTGAGACCCACAAATGCCCCTTTCACACCAACGCGTTTTCAGCGCAGGCTCGGAGCTAGAGCCTGAAAAGTACCGGTTTTTCCTGTTCACACCGCAGCGGCGCCGCCTCTTAGCTCCGGAATCCAGTTCGTTTCCAGCTCCAAAAAATGGTCGGTCTAGAAGCAAGACTCCAGAGCTAAGAGGCGGCGTCGCTTACGTCTCTCTTACGTCGAGGCGTGCAGGAAACTAAACCCACCTTCCCTGAACATGGGTCGACTGAAGAGTCTCGTCATGCCTGCCTAAAAGCAGTAGCGCTGAGCAAAGTGACTAGAAGGCAACCACACACTTATAAAAAAAAACACACTTTATAAAGTCAGGCAACACTAACCAGGCTTCGTGTTATTCTGTTTATTTGTACCTTACTTTGACCATCCGTTCACTGTTATTGATCATTGTGGAGAGCAGGCAGACGTTTTGTTTTTTATTATAGAAGCTATCGGATGGAATCAATACATGGGCTGCACAGGTTGTCATGTCCGACTATCACAAGTAGAATCATAATGAAAAATACGCCGGTAAAATGTGCCTGTAGAAAACGGCTTAGCAAGTAGTCAGTTTAGCTTCGGTTGCTATGCTAGCATCACCCATGTTATACCAGAGAAACTTTCATAACAGCGTTGTGATGCCAAACAGCGTCAATTCAGACTGACACACATTCACTTAAGGGGAACTGGGGATATGTATCAGCTGCTTGTGTGACAGTCAGACAGTGAATACTTTAGAGCCGTGTGAGCTAACCCGGAGCTAACGGGAGAATAAACTCCCGTGGAAGAGCAGCCAGCACTGCAGCGGTCGGTAAATGCCGCTGAAACACATTAATAAACAATGAACCACGGCACTCTGGAGAAAAGTATAAGGTTGGAGAAGTCGTTATTTAATTTAATCTGGCTTCGTATGATTAAAAGCAACACGATCATCGACCCAACGCAGTCCCCCGTTGTTGTTGTTGTTGTTGTGAGCGCCGTTGGGGAGCAAATCAGCGATGTAAACGGTGACGTCATGACGCAGCAGCGGCAGCACCATCCCGGCTCTGAGTGGTGTGAACAGAGCGGGAGCAGAAAAGGGAAACCGGAGCTGAACCAGAAAAGCTCTAGCTCGGAGCTAGAAAGGGAAAAGCGCTGGTGTGAAAGCCGCATGAGATAACTTGCACTAAAGTTAACTATCTAAACACTGAGAGAGTCCTTTACCTCACTGAGCTGACGTTATAAGATCCTCTCAGTCTGACAGGAGAGGACTCTCCTCC